TACCTATCCCACAAGTGTCAACCACCCAAGCATAGGCTGCTACCACACCACGTGCGTGTCGCAGTTTCACCAACCCGACCATCCTCTACCACCATCGGCTCGGGCACCCAAACTTCCGCACGCTTGCTGACATGGCCTCCAAGAAGCTTCTTCTCGGCCTACCAGCCTCACTTCCTCCACCACCTGACTCTCCCGCTCCCTCGTGTCTTGACTGCACCAAGAGCAAGCTGCGCCAACAACCCCACCCTGCCTCACCCTCAGTCGCTGCAGCCCCACTGGACCTAGTGCACATGGACGTTTGGGGCCCTGCCCCTGTTGCTGCACGAGGCGGCCATCGCTATTTCCTTGCAATAGTTGATGACCACTCTCGCTACGTCTCTGTGCACCTCCTCCACACTAAAGCTGAGGCTCCAGAGGCCATCATGGCGTGGAACAAGCAGGCACAGACCACATTTGGCACCAAGGTCAAGCGCCTTCATTCGGATGGTGGTGGTGCATTTTGCAACGACAAGCTCAAAGCCTTCTGCTCCTCCCTTGGCATCCTGCAAAACTTCACCCTTCCTGACAGCCCGCAGCAGAACGGCATAACAGAGAGCCGCAATCACACACTGGTGCAGATCGCTCGCTGCCTCCTCAGCCACTCCAACGCACCACTCTCACTCTGGGGGTACGCCCTCTATCATACCGCCCTCCTCTACAACCTCTACCCCCACCCGCATCTTCCCGACACCACTCCCACCACACTCTGGCTAGGGAAAACACCCACTGCTCGCCCCCTTCGCGTATGGGGGTGCACCGCCTATGTCCTCCTCAACCCCAAGGCTCGGCGACGGCAAGGTGGCAAGCTTGGTCCCAAAACTCAAACGTGCATCTACCTTGGGCATAACGCTGACTCCCCTGATTACCTTTTCCTCAACCCCTCCACTCAACAACTAGTCCGGAGTCGCGATGTAGTCATTGATGAGACTCGCCCCTTTTACGCCACCTCTTGGGGGGATCCCCCCTCTGGACCACCCTCTCTTGTGTGGGCTGACTTTGATGCGCCTCCTGAACTTCCGCCCGCACTAGCTCCCTCACCTCCTACCTCTCCTGCCGTCGCACCATCCCCGTCTGAGGTCTCTAACCCGACCTCTCCGGTGTCCTCGGCAACTGCTCCTCCATCTCCCCCTTCCACCTCTCTGCCAACTGCGCTCCCACCACCAAGCGCACCAATCACATACCATCGGCGTTCGAACCCTCCAGCCCCACCTCCTCCCCCCGTTCCCTCCTCCACTCAGGAACCTGCTCTCCCACAACCGTGCAAACTGATCACGTACCAGCGACGTCCGATCCCTCCGCCCAGGCCTCCTAAACCGTCCCCTCCAGGAACGCCTGCTCCACCCTCTTCTCCGGTGGCTCATGGCACTCGGTCACATGGGGCTGCTCCTCCACTGGCACTTGCCATTCGATGCTCAGTGATCACTCCGACTCCTCCTGCTGGGAGGGATGTGCCCTCTACCCTTCTGGAAGAGGCCCCAGTGTTCAAAGCGCGCTATGTGGCCAAGGGATTCACTCAGCAGCAGTACTTTGACTTCTTCAAAACCTTCTCTCCCACATCCAAACCACCCACAGCTCGCAAGCTCTTGGATGTAGCCGCACGAGAAGACTTTGAGATCAAATCCATCGACGCCTCTTCGGCATTCCTGCAAGGACACCTCAAGGAGACAGTGTTTATGGACCGACCTGAAGGCTTTCCAGGAGAGTTCCCTCCCAACACTGTGTGGAAGCTGAATCGCCCTGTTTACGGGATCAAACAAGCCCCTCGTGAATGGCACAACAAAGTGAAAGAAGTCCTTCTCTCATTGGACTTTAACCCATCATCCGTTGATCCAAATCTCTTCATTCGCCATCACTCTCAGCCATTCTACATCCTTGTCTACGTCAAGGACTCGGCCCAGATGACCTCTGTCCAGGCGGCTCTGAGCAAGGCCCTTCCGATGAAAGACCTCGGTGACCTCAAGCACTACCTGGGGATGGAGATCACTCGTGATCGCCAGGCTCGCACCATCTCACTCTCCCGGGAGTTCTACATCAACAATGTGCTCAAGCGCTTTGAGGTGGAGTTTTGCACACCCATGGCCACCCCGCTGCCGCTAGGGTCCCTCATGTACGCCATGATGTGCACCCGCCCCGACCTGGCATACCCTGTCGGTGTCCTCTCTCGCGATGTGACTCCTGGACGCTTCACTGACCTTCACTGGAAGGCGGCAAATTGGGTGCTGCGCTATCTGCAGAGCACCAAGTCGCATGTACTCACACTTGGTGGGCTTTCTCCTCCTCGACTGGAAGGTTACACTAACTCCTCCTAGGGCGATGACCAGACGGACCGACGGTCCTCCCAGGGCTACTGCTTCACCCTTGGGAGCGGAGTTGTCAGGTGGAGCTCCACCAGGTCGTCTGCAGTCTCCCTCTCCTCCTGTGAGGCAGAACTTTACGGTGGCACCATGGCGGCTCAAGAGGCCCGTTGGCTCACCTTCCTCCTCCAGGAGCTTGGCTACCCTCAGCCCAACCGCACCCTCTGGTGTGCCAACAAGAGCACAATCCACCTCTCCCATGACCCCGTGTATCACACTCGCACCAAGCACATCGAACTTCGACACTTCTTCATTCGTGACCTTGTCCAGCGGGATCAGCTGAACGTGGAGTACGTTGCATCTGACTGCAACTTGGCTGATCTGTTCACCAAGCCCCTTGGGAAAGTTCCTCACCATCGTCTCCTTGGCGCCATGAGGCTCTGCGCTCCACCTTCTCTGCCCTGAGTTCGATTGACGTCTATGAGGGGGTGTTAGTGTTAGACCTCATCTCACACTTTGTATTTTGTACTTTCTACATCATAGCGTAGTGTAGTTTGCACTTTGTGTTTGGTTGGGTGTACACCTACATCCCAACCAATCCCAAATGTGATCTCCAAGCAATCTCCAACCCACCAATTGGAGATTGCCTTGAGATTACCCCCAATCCCTAGAGATTGCCCCTGATTCCCCTCCCTATCCTTTCCTTGCCCATCCTGGATGTACTTAAAGAGCTTCAAGCTCATTACTAATGCATGGATTCTAAGCCTAAGTTCTGACATATATTTAGTGCAGAACACCCATAAACCCATGGATCCGTGTCCCCATGCATGCACACATGCATCATGTCCTAAAAATCCCATACATCCTTATCCCCGCTCATCCACGTCCCATGTATGCATCCATGCGGTGCGACCATGTCCCCATGAACCCACGTGCCCCTGTTGCCTTGTGAAGCGCGACTCACAGCTGAAACAATCCAGAGAGGCGAGAGAGGGTGGTGGGGAGAGTCCCGGTCAAGTGATTGTTGGAGAGATCCCTGCGAGCTCATGCAACACAGTGACAGACAGCACACACAGTGACAGATGGCATACACAGTGACAGACAGCACACACAGTGATAGACAGCACACACAGTGACAGACAGCACACAGAGTGACAGACAGCACACACAGTGATAGACAGCACACAGAGTGACAGACAGCACAACACAGTGACCGACAGCACACACAGTGATGGAATTTGTCCAGTGATAAGAAGGTACAATCGACAGAATTGCATGGCATGTAGTGCCAGCAAGCTCATTGAATGCAACACAATGACAGACGGCACACAGTGATGGGCGTTTCTCCCCTGCATGGTATGGGGTGCAGGGCGCACACCGTTGGCATGGCATGTTGTGGAGGTACGAGAGAGCGAGGTATGTTATAGAATCAACACTGAGAATCAGGTTCCTGATGGTTGGTCGGATGAAGATGATTGGAGGTGTGGATGACAATGGAGAAAACATTGAGCGATCTCACAGTTTCCGGATATCCTTCATGTTGCCAATGCCCTCGGGGATGGTTCCCTCGAGCTGGTTGTCTGAAAGATCACTGCAACACACTCGTCAGCCGTGTCCGTCACATCATCATCAGTCATTCGCTGTTCGTTTCTACTACACAACGGGAGGGGGCACAGGTGGGGAGGTTCTGGGAGCAAAGACGTGCCGCTACCCCTCTGGACATGTAATACTGTGATAAAAGAAACAGATTATAGAGGCACCTATTAAACAAAAACATATACTATCGTGAAGTGTACTGCTGTCCCTCTCCCTTCCCTGCACCAGCTGCAAGCCTAGCCCGTGGAGAGACACTCACAGGCTGCTGAGCTTGGTGAGACTGCCTATGGACTCGGGAATGCTGCCTGACAGGTTGTTCTTCCACAGGGAGCTGTTGCACGCAGTGAGGGACAGGCGTGCAGAGGGGCAGATATGAAGTAAGCTTCAGATTATTTTCATCACATGCCCTAAAGGGACCCTTGCAAAACAATGCAAGAGAGTCCTAGGGGCGCATCGAGGCAAACCGGCCCGGTTCGCCCTTCAGCAGGCCCAAACACGTCCAGCCCAACCTTGCCCATTTCACTGGGCCAAACCAGGTTCGGCCTGACCCGAGCCAACCTGCTGACGGTTCCTAGTCCCGCTGGTGACAAAGTCAAACCAATTCAACTCGGGCCAGGCTGGGCTCGCCTGTCTGTCTGCCTAGGATAGGGTGCAGTGAGGGATAGGGAGCAGTGTGGCATAGGAAACAGTAGGGACAGGTGCGGTAGGAATAAGGTGCAGATGGGGGAAAGGGTGCAGCAGGGGATAGGGTGCAGTAGGGATGGGGTGTAGTAGGCTTAGATGGATTTGGCACTCCTGAAGGGTTACGTCAAGCATCAAAACGTAGCGTTTTGACGACTTTGTTCTAATGTTTGGATCTAGGCAACGAGCAAATTCGTCCCTTGGCTAGCTAAGCAAGCTCCCCCCTCGCTCCCCCACCCCCCTAAATATTGGCAATGAGCGCAAACCAACGTCAAATTCCCAACAAGGTCGTGTCAAGCGTCAGAACGAAGCGTTTAAAACGCTGGCTCCGTCAAATCCATCTAAGGTAGTAGGGATAGGGTGCAGCGAGGTGCAGATTGGATGATAGGCATGACTGGCACGACTGGAATGACTGCATGTGATGGCATGACTGCATGTGATGGCATGACTGCATGTGATGGCATGACTGCATGTGATGGCATGAGTGCATGTGATGGCATGAGTGCATGTGATGGCATGAGTGCATGTGATGGCATGAGTGCATGTGATGGCATGACTGCATGTGATGGCATGAGTGCATGTGATGGCATGAGTGCATGTGATGGCATGACTGCATGTGATGGCATGACTGCATGTGATGGCATGACTGCATGTGATGGCATGACTGCATGTGATGGCATGACTGCATGTGATGGCATGAGTGCATGTGATGGCATGACTGCATGTGATGGCATGAGTGCATGTGATGGCATGAGTGCATGTGATGGCATGAGTGCATGTGATGGCATGAGTGCATGTGATGGCATGACTGCATGTGATGGCATGAGTGCATGTGATGGCATGAGTGCATGTGATGGCATGACTGCATGTGATGGCATGACTGCATGTGATGGCATGAGTGCATGTGATGGCATGAGTGCATGTGATGGCATGAGTGCATGTGATGGCATGACTGCATGTGATGGCATGAGTGCATGTGATGGCATGAGTGCATGTGATGGCATGAGTGCATGTGATGGCATGACTGCATGTGATGGCATGACTGCATGTGATGGCATGAGTGCATGTGATGGCATGAGTGCATGTGATGGCATGAGTGCATGTGATGGCATGACTGCATGTGATGGCATGAGTGCATGTGATGGCATGAGACTGCATGTGATGGCATGACTGCATGTGATGGCATGAGTGCATGTGATGGCATGAGTGCATGTGATGGCATGAGTGCATGTGATGGCATGACTGCATGTGATGGCATGAGTGCATGTGATGGCATGAGTGCATGTGATGGCATGAGTGCATGTGATGGCATGAGTGCATGTGATGGCATGAGTGCATGTGATGGCATGAGTGCATGTGATGGCATGACTGCATGTGATGGCATGACTGCATGTGATGGCATGAGTGCATGTGATGGCATGAGTGCATGTGATGGCATGAGTGCATGTGATGGCATGACTGCATGTGATGGCATGAGTGCATGTGATGGCATGAGTGCATGTGATGGCATGAGTGCATGTGATGGCATGACTGCATGTGATGGCATGAGTGCATGTGATGGCATGAGTGCATGTGATGGCATGAGTGCATGTGATGGCATGAGTGCATGTGATGGCATGACTGCATGTGATGGCATGACTGCATGTGATGGCATGAGTGCATGTGATGGCATGACTGCATGTGATGGCATGAGTGCATGTGATGGCATGAGTGCATGTGATGGCATGACTGCATGTGATGGCATGACTGCATGTGATGGCATGAGTGCATGTGATGGCATGAGTGCATGTGATGGCATGAGTGCATGTGATGGCATGACTGCATGTGATGGCATGAGTGCATGTGATGGCATGAGTGCATGTGATGGCATGAGTGCATGTGATGGCATGAGTGCATGTGATGGCATGACTGCATGTGATGGCATGACTGCATGTGATGGCATGAGTGCATGTGATGGCATGACTGCATGTGATGGCATGAGTGCATGTGATGGCATGAGTGCATGTGATGGCATGAGTGCATGTGATGGCATGACTGCATGTGATGGCATGAGTGCATGTGATGGCATGAGTGCATGTGATGGCATGAGTGCATGTGATGGCATGACTGCATGTGATGGCATGAGTGCATGTGATGGCATGAGTGCATGTGATGGCATGAGTGCATGTGATGGCATGACTGCATGTGATGGCATGACTGCATGTGATGGCATGAGTGCATGTGATGGCATGAGTGCATGTGATGGCATGAGTGCATGTGATGGCATGACTGCATGTGATGGCATGACTGCATGTGATGGCATGAGTGCATGTGATGGCATGAGTGCATGTGATGGCATGAGTGCATGTGATGGCATGACTGCATGTGATGGCATGAGTGCATGTGATGGCATGAGTGCATGTGATGCATGAGTGCATGTGATGGCATGACTGCATGTGATGGCATGAGTGCATGTGATGGCATGAGTGCATGTGATGGCATGACTGCATGTGATGGCATGACTGCATGTGATGGCATGAGTGCATGTGATGGCATGACTGCATGTGATGGCATGAGTGCATGTGATGGCATGAGTGCATGTGATGGCATGAGTGCATGTGATGGCATGAGTGCATGTGATGGCATGACTGCATGTGATGGCATGAGTGCATGTGATGGCATGAGTGCATGTGATGGCATGAGTGCATGTGATGGCATGACTGCATGTGATGGCATGACTGCATGTGATGGCATGAGTGCATGTGATGGCATGAGTGCATGTGATGGCATGAGTGCATGTGATGGCATGACTGCATGTGATGGCATGAGTGCATGTGATGGCATGAGTGCATGTGATGGCATGAGTGCATGTGATGGCATGACTGCATGTGATGGCATGACTGCATGTGATGGCATGAGTGCATGTGATGGCATGAGTGCATGTGATGGCATGACTGCATGTGATGGCATGAGTGCATGTGATGGCATGACTGCATGTGATGGCATGAGTGCATGTGATGGCATGAGTGCATGTGATGGCATGACTGCATGTGATGGCATGAGTGCATGTGATGGCATGACGTGCATGTGATTGGCATGATGTGCATGTGATGGCATGAGTGCATGTGATGGCATGAGTGCATGTGATGGCATGACTGCATGTGATGGCATGAGTGCATGTGATGGCATGAGTGCATGTGATGGCATGAGTGCATGTGATGGCATGACTGCATGTGATGGCATGACTGCATGTGATGGCATGAGTGCATGTGATGGCATGACGTGCATGTGATGGCATGACGTGCATGTGATGGCATGACTGCATGTGATGGCATGAGTGCATGTGATGGCATGAGTGCATGTGATGGCATGAGTGCATGTGATGGCATGAGCTGCATGTGATGGCATGAGTGCATGTGATGGCATGACTGCATGTGATGGCATGACTGCATGTGATGGCATGAGTGCATGTGATGGCATGAGTGCATGTGATGGCATGAGTGCATGTGATGGCATGACTGCATGTGATGGCATGACTGCATGTGATGGCATGAGTGCATGTGATGGCATGAGTGCATGTGATGGCATGACTGCATGTGATGGCATGAGTGCATGTGATGGCATGAGTGCATGTGATGGCATGTGATGGCATGACTGCATGTGATGGCATGACTGCATGTGATGGCATGACTGCATGTGATGGCATGACTGCATGTGATGGCATGAGTGCATGTGATGGCATGAGTGCATGTGATGGCATGAGTGCATGTGATGGCATGAGTGCATGTGATGGCATGACTGCATGTGATGGCATGAGTGCATGTGATGGCATGAGTGCATGTGATGGCATGAGTGCATGTGATGGCATGACTGCATGTGATGGCATGACTGCATGTGATGGCATGACTGCATGTGATGGCATGACTGCATGTGATGGCATGACTGCATGTGATGGCATGAGTGCATGTGATGGCATGACTGCATGTGATGGCATGAGTGCATGTGATGGCATGAGTGCATGTGATGGCATGAGTGCATGTGATGGCATGAGTGCATGTGATGGCATGACTGCATGTGATGGCATGAGTGCATGTGATGGCATGAGTGCATGTGATGGCATGACTGCATGTGATGGCATGACTGCATGTGATGGCATGAGTGCATGTGATGGCATGAGTGCATGTGATGGCATGAGTGCATGTGATGGCATGACTGCATGTGATGGCATGAGTGCATGTGATGGCATGAGTGCATGTGATGGCATGAGTGCATGTGATGGCATGAGTGCATGTGATGGCATGACTGCATGTGATGGCATGACTGCATGTGATGGCATGAGTGCATGTGATGGCATGAGTGCATGTGATGGCATGAGTGCATGTGATGGCATGACTGCATGTGATGGCATGAGTGCATGTGATGGCATGAGTGCATGTGATGGCATGACTGCATGTGATGGCATGACTGCATGTGATGGCATGAGTGCATGTGATGGCATGAGTGCATGTGATGGCATGAGTGCATGTGATGGCATGACTGCATGTGATGGCATGAGTGCATGTGATGGCATGAGTGCATGTGATGGCATGAGTGCATGTGATGGCATGAGTGCATGTGATGGCATGAGTGCATGTGATGGCATGAGTGCATGTGATGGCATGACTGCATGTGATGGCATGTGATGGCATGAGTGCATGTGATGGCATGAGTGCATGTGATGGCATGAGTGCATGTGATGGCATGAGTGCATGTGATGGCATGAGTGCATGTGATGGCATGAGTGCATGTGATGGCATGAGTGCATGTGATGGCATGAGTGCATGTGATGGCATGAGTGCATGTGATGGCATGACTGCATGTGATGGCATGAGTGCATGTGATGGCATGAGTGCATGTGATGGCATGACTGCATGTGATGGCATGAGTGCATGTGATGGCATGAGTGCATGTGATGGCATGAGTGCATGTGATGGCATGACTGCATGTGATGGCATGAGTGCATGTGATGGCATGAGTGCATGTGATGGCATGAGTGCATGTGATGGCATGACTGCATGTGATGGCATGAGTGCATGTGATGGCATGAGTGCATGTGATGGCATGAGTGCATGTGATGGCATGACGTGCATGTGATGGCATGAGTGCATGTGATGGCATGAGTGCATGTGATGGCATGAGTGCATGTGATGGCATGACTGCATGTGATGGCATGAGTGCATGTGATGGCATGACTGCATGTGATGGCATGACTGCATGTGATGGCATGAGTGCATGTGATGGCATGAGTGCATGTGATGGCATGACTGCATGTGATGGCATGACTGCATGTGATGGCATGAGTGCATGTGATGGCATGAGTGCATGTGATGGCATGAGTGCATGTGATGGCATGAGCTGCATGTGATGGCATGAGTGCATGTGATGGCATGAGTGCATGTGATGGCATGAGTGCATGTGATGGCATGAGTGCATGTGATGGCATGAGTGCATGTGATGGCATGAGTGCATGTGATGGCATGACTGCATGTGATGGCATGAGTGCATGTGATGGCATGAGTGCATGTGATGGCATGAGTGCATGTGATGGCATGAGTGCATGTGATGGCATGAGTGCATGTGATGGCATGAGTGCATGTGATGGCATGAGTGCATGTGATGGCATGAGTGCATGTGATGGCATGAGTGCATGTGATGGCATGAGTGCATGTGATGGCATGACTGCATGTGATGGCATGAGTGCATGTGATGGCATGAGTGCATGTGATGGCATGAGTGCATGTGATGGCATGAGTGCATGTGATGGCATGACTGCATGTGATGGCATGAGTGCATGTGATGGCATGAGTGCATGTGATGGCATGAGTGCATGTGATGGCATGAGTGCATGTGATGGCATGACTGCATGTGATGGCATGAGTGCATGTGATGGCATGAGTGCATGTGATGGCATGACTGCATGTGATGGCATGAGTGCATGTGATGGCATGAGTGCATGTGATGGCATGAGTGCATGTGATGGCATGAGTGCATGTGATGGCATGACTGCATGTGATGGCATGAGTGCATGTGATGGCATGAGTGCATGTGATGGCATGAGTGCATGTGATGGCATGAGTGCATGTGATGGCATGACTGCATGTGATGGCATGAGCTGCATGTGATGGCATGAGTGCATGTGATGGCATGACTGCATGTGATGGCATGAGTGCATGTGATGGCATGAGTGCATGTGATGGCATGACTGCATGTGATGGCATGAGTGCATGTGATGGCATGAGTGCATGTGATGGCATGACTGCATGTGATGGCATGAGTGCATGTGATGGCATGAGTGCATGTGATGGCATGAGTGCATGTGATGGCATGAGTGCATGTGATGGCATGAGTGCATGTGATGGCATGAGTGCATGTGATGGCATGAGTGCATGATGCATGAGTGCATGTGATGGCATGAGTGCATGTGATGCATGACTGCATGTGATGGCATGAGTGCATGTGATGGCATGACATGAGTGCATGTGATGGCATGAGTGCATGTGATGGCATGAGTGCATGTGATGGCATGAGCTGCATGTGATGGCATGAGTGCATGTGATGGCATGAGTGCATGTGATGGCATGAGTGCATGTGATGGCATGAGTGCATGTGATGGCATGAGTGCATGTGATGGCATGAGTGCATGTGATGGCATGACTGCATGTGATGGCATGAGTGCATGTGATGGCATGAGTGCATGTGATGGCATGAGTGCATGTGATGGCATGAGTGCATGTGATGGCATGAGTGCATGTGATGGCATGAGTGCATGTGATGGCATGAGTGCATGTGATGGCATGAGTGCATGTGATGGCATGAGTGCATGTGATGGCATGACTGCATGTGATGGCATGACTGCATGTGATGGCATGAGTGCATGTGATGGCATGAGTGCATGTGATGGCATGAGTGCATGTGATGGCATGAGTGCATGTGATGGCATGAGTGCATGTGATGGCATGAGTGCATGTGATGGCATGAGTGCATGTGATGGCATGAGTGCATGTGATGGCATGAGTGCATGTGATGGCATGAGTGCATGTGATGGCATGAGTGCATGTGATGGCATGAGTGCATGTGATGGCATGAGTGCATGTGATGGCATGAGTGCATGTGATGGCATGAGTGCATGTGATGGCATGAGTGCATGTGATGGCATGACTGCATGTGATGGCATGACTGCATGTGATGGCATGAGTGCATGTGATGGCATGAGTGCATGTGATGGCATGAGTGCATGTGATGGCATGACTGCATGTGATGGCATGACTGCATGTGATGGCATGAGTGCATGTGATGGCATGACTGCATGTGATGGCATGAGTGCATGTGATGGCATGAGTGCATGTGATGGCATGACTGCATGTGATGGCATGACTGCATGTGATGGCATGAGTGCATGTGATGGCATGAGTGCATGTGATGGCATGAGTGCATGTGATGGCATGACTGCATGTGATGGCATGAGTGCATGTGATGGCATGAGTGCATGTGATGGCATGAGTGCATGTGATGGCATGACTGCATGTTGATGGCATGACTGCATGTGATGGCATGAGTGCATGTGATGGCATGAGTGCATGTGATGGCATGAGTGCATGTGATGGCATGACTGCATGTGATGGCATGAGTGCATGTGATGGCATGAGTGCATGTGATGGCATGACTGCATGTGATGGCATGAGTGCATGTGATGGCATGAGTGCATGTGATGGCATGAGTGCATGTGATGGCATGAGTGCATGTGATGGCATGAGTGCATGTGATGGCATGAGTGCATGTGATGGCATGAGTGCATGTGATGGCATGAGTGCATGTGATGGCATGACTGCATGTGATGGCATGACTGCATGTGATGGCATGAGTGCATGTGATGGCATGACTGCATGTGATGGCATGAGTGCATGTGATGGCATGACTGCATGTGATGGCATGAGTGCATGTGATGGCATGAGTGCATGTGATGGCATGAGTGCATGTGATGGCATGAGTGCATGTGATGGCATGAGTGCATGTGATGGCATGAGTGCATGTGATGGCATGAGTGCATGTGATGGCATGAGTGCATGTGATGGCATGACTGCATGTGATGGCATGAGTGCATGTGATGGCATGAGTGCATGTGATGGCATGACTGCATGTGATGGCATGAGTGCATGTGATGGCATGACTGCATGTGATGGCATGAGTGCATGTGATGGCATGAGTGCATGTGATGGCATGACTGCATGTGATGGCATGACTGCATGTGATGGCATGACTGCATGTGATGGCATGACTGCATGTGATGGCATGAGTGCATGTGATGGCATGAGTGCATGTGATGGCATGAGTGCATGTGATGGCATGAGTGCATGTGATGGCATGACTGCATGTGATGGCATGACTGCATGTGATGGCATGAGTGCATGTGATGGCATGAGTGCATGTGATGGCATGAGTGCATGTGATGGCATGACTGCATGTGATGGCATGAGTGCATGTGATGGCATGAGTGCATGTGATGGCATGAGTGCATGTGATGGCATGACTGCATGTGATGGCATGAGTGCATGTGATGGCATGAGTGCATGTGATGGCATGAGTGCATGTGATGGCATGAGTGCATGTGATGGCATGACTGCATGTGATGGCATGACTGCATGTGATGGCATGAGTGCATGTGATGGCATGACTGCATGTGATGGCATGAGTGCATGTGATGGCATGAGTGCATGTGATGGCATGACTGCATGTGATGGCATGACTGCATGTGATGGCATGAGTGCATGTGATGGCATGAGTGCATGTGATGGCATGAGTGCATGTGATGGCATGACTGCATGTGATGGCATGAGTGCATGTGATGGCATGAGTGCATGTGATGGCATGACTGCATGTGATGGCATGAGTGCATGTGATGGCATGAGTGCATGTGATGGCATGAGTGCATGTGATGGCATGACTGCATGTGATGGCATGAGTGCATGTGATGGCATGAGTGCATGTGATGGCATGAGTGCATGTGATGGCATGACTGCATGTGATGGCATGAGTGCATGTGATGGCATGAGTGCATGTGATGGCATGAGTGCATGTGATGGCATGACTGCATGTGATGGCATGAGTGCATGTGATGGCATGAGTGCATGTGATGGCATGAGTGCATGTGATGGCATGAGTGCATGTGATGGCATGAGCTGCATGTGATGGCATGAGTGCATGTGATGGCATGAGTGCATGTGATGGCATGACTGCATGTGATGGCATGAGTGCATGTGATGGCATGAGTGCATGTGATGGCATGACTGCATGTGATGGCATGACTGCATGTGATGGCATGAGTGCATGTGATGGCATGAGTGCATGTGATGGCATGAGTGCATGTGATGGCATGACTGCATGTGATGGCATGAGTGCATGTGATGGCATGAGTGCATGTGATGGCATGAGTGCATGTGATGGCATGAGTGCATGTGATGGCATGAGTGCATGTGATGGCATGAGTGCATGTGATGGCATGAGTGCATGTGATGGCATGAGTGCATGTGATGGCATGAGTGCATGTGATGGCATGAGTGCATGTGATGGCATGAGTGCATGTGATGGCATGAGTGCATGTGATGGCATGAGTGCATGTGATGGCATGAGTGCATGTGATGGCATGAGTGCATGTGATGGCATGAGTGCATGTGATGGCATGAGTGCATGTGATGGCATGAGTGCATGTGATGGCATGAGTGCATGTGATGGCATGAGTGCATGTGATGGCATGAGTGCATGTGATGGCATGAGTGCATGTGATGGCATGAGTGCATGTGATGGCATGAGTGCATGTGATGGCATGAGTGCATGTGATGGCATGAGTGCATGTGATGGCATGAGTGCATGTGATGGCATGACTGCATGTGATGGCATGAGTGCATGTGATGGCATGAGTGCATGTGATGGCATGACTGCATGTGATGGCATGACTGCATGTGATGGCATGAGTGCATGTGATGGCATGAGTGCATGTGATGGCATGAGTGCATGTGATGGCATGACTGCATGTGATGGCATGAGTGCATGTGATGGCATGAGTGCATGTGATGGCATGAGTGCATGTGATGGCATGAGTGCATGTGATGGCATGACTGCATGTGATGGCATGAGTGCATGTGATGGCATGAGTGCATGTGATGGCATGACTGCATGTGATGGCATGAGTGCATGTGATGGCATGAGTGCATGTGATGGCATGAGTGCATGTGATGGCATGAGTGCATGTGATGGCATGAGTGCATGTGATGGCATGAGTGCATGTGATGGCATGAGTGCATGTGATGGCATGAGTGCATGTGATGGCATGAGTGCATGTGATGGCATGACTGCATGTGATGGCATGAGTGCATGTGATGGCATGAGTGCATGTGATGGCATGAGTGCATGTGATGGCATGACTGCATGTGATGGCATGACTGCATGTGATGGCATGAGTGCATGTGATGGCATGAGTGCATGTGATGGCATGAGTGCATGTGATGGCATGAGTGCATGTGATGGCATGAGTGCATGTGATGGCATGAGTGCATGTGATGGCATGAGTGCATGTGATGGCATGAGTGCATGTGATGGCATGAGTGCATGTGATGGCATGAGTGCATGTGATGGCATGAGTGCATGTGATGGCATGAGTGCATGTGATGGCATGAGTGCATGTGATGGCATGAGTGCATTGTGATGGCATGACTGCATGTGATGGCATGAGTGCATGTGATGGCATGAGTGCATGTGATGGCATGAGTGCATGTGATGGCATGAGTGCATGTGATGGCATGAGTGCATGTGATGGCATGACTGCATGTGATGGCATGACTGCATGTGATGGCATGAGTGCATGTGATGGCATGAGTGCATGTGATGGCATGACTGCATGTGATGGCATGACTGCATGTGATGGCATGAGTGCATGTGATGGCATGAGTGCATGTGATGGCATGAGTGCATGTGATGGCATGACTGCATGTGATGGCATGACTGCATGTGATGGCATGAGTGCATGTGATGGCATGAGTGCATTGATGATGCATGTGATGGCATGAGTGCATGTGATGGCATGAGTGCATGTGATGGCATGAGTGCATGTGATGGCATGAGTGCATGTGATGGCATGAGTGCATGTGATGGCATGAGTGCATGTGATGGCATGAGTGCATGTGATGGCATGAGTGCATGTGATGGCATGAGTGCATGTGATGGCATGAGTGCATGTGATGGCATGAGTGCATGTGATGGCATGAGTGCATGTGATGGCATGAGTGCATGTGATGGCATGAGTGCATGTGATGGCATGAGTGCATGTGATGGCATGAGTGCATGTGATGGCATGAGTGCATGTGATGGCATGAGTGCATGTGATGGCATGACTGCATGTGATGGCATGAGTGCATGTGATGGCATGAGTGCATGTGATGGCATGACTGCATGTGATGGCATGAGTGCATGTGATGGCATGAGTGCATGTGATGGCATGAGTGCATGTGATGGCATGACTGCATGTGATGGCATGACTGCATGTGATGGCATGAGTGCATGTGATGGCATGAGTGCATGTGATTGGCATGACGTGCATGTGATGGCATGACTGCATGTGATGGCATGAGTGCATGTGATGGCATGAGTGCATGTGATGGCATGAGTGCATGTGATGGCATGTGATGGCATGATGCATGTGATGGCATGAGTGCATGTGATGGCATGAGTGCATGTGATGGCATGAGTGCATGTGATGGCATGACTGCATGTGATGGCATGAGTGCATGTGATGGCATGAGTGCATGTGATGGCATGAGTGCATGTGATGGCATGACTGCATGTGATGGCATGAGTGCATGTGATGGCATGAGTGCATGTGATGGCATGAGTGCATGTGATGGCATGAGTGCATGGATGGCATGAGTGCCATGTGATGGCATGAGTGCATGTGATGGCATGAGTGCATGTGATGGCATGAGTGCATGTGATGGCATGAGTGCATGTGATGGCATGAGTGCATGTGATGGCATGAGTGCATGTGATGGCATGAGTGCATGTGATGGCATGAGTGCATGTGATGGGCATGAGTGCATGTGATGGCATGAGTGCATGTGATGGCATGACGTGCATGTGATGGCATGAGTGCATGTGATGGCATGAGTGCATGTGATGGCATGAGTGCATGTGATGGCATGAGTGCATGTGATGGCATGAGTGCATGTGATGGCATGAGTGCATGTGATGGCATGAGTGCATGTGATGGCATGAGTGCATGTGATGGCATGAGTGCATGTGATGGCATGAGTGCATGTGATGGCATGAGTGCATGTGATGGCATGAGTGCATGTGATGGCATGAGTGCATGTGATGCATGAGTGCATGTGATGGCATGAGTGCATGTGATGGCATGACTGCATGTGATGGCATGAGTGCATGTGATGGCATGACTGCATGTGATGGCATGAGTGCATGTGATGGCATGAGTGCATGTGATGGCATGAGTGCATGTGATGGCATGACTGCATGTGATGGCATGAGTGCATGTGATGGCATGAGTGCATGTGATGGCATGACTGCATGTGATGGCATGAGTGCATGTGATGGCATGAGTGCATGTGATGGCATGACTGCATGTGATGGCATGACTGCATGTGATGGCATGAGTGCATGTGATGGCATGAGTGCATGTGATGGCATGACTGCATGTGATGGCATGACTGCATGTGATGGCATGAGTGCATGTGATGGCATGAGTGCATGTGATGGCATGAGTGCATGTGATGGCATGACTGCATGTGATGGCATGACTGCATGTGATGGCATGAGTGCATGTGATGGCATGAGTGCATGTGATGGCATGAGTGCATGTGATGGCATGAGTGCATGTGATGGCATGAGTGCATGTGATGGCATGAGTGCATGTGATGGCATGACTGCATGTGATGGCATGACTGCATGTGATGGCATGAGTGCATGTGATGGCATGAGTGCATGTGATGGCATGAGTGCATGTGATGGCATGACTGCATGTGATGGCATGAGTGCATGTGATGGCATGAGTGCATGTGATGGCATGACTGCATGTGATGGCATGAGTGCATGTGATGGCATGAGTGCATGTGATGGCATGAGTGCATGTGATGGCATGACTGCATGTGATGGCATGAGTGCATGTGATGGCATGAGTGCATGTGATGGCATGAGTGCATGTGATGGCATGAGTGCATGTGATGGCATGACTGCATGTGATGGCATGACTGCATGTGATGGCATGAGTGCATGTGATGGCATGACTGCATGTGATGGCATGAGTGCATGTGATGGCATGACTGCATGTGATGGCATGAGTGCATGTGATGGCATGAGTGCATGTGATGGCATGAGTGCATGTGATGGCATGACTGCATGTGATGGCATGAGTGCATGTGATGGCATGAGTGCATGTGATGGCATGACTGCATGTGATGGCATGAGTGCATGTGATGGCATGACTGCATGTGATGGCATGAGTGCATGTGATGGCATGAGTGCATGTGATGGCATGACTGCATGTGATGGCATGAGTGCATGTGATGGCATGACTGCATGTGATGGCATGAGTGCATGTGATGGCATGAGTGCATGTGATGGCATGACTGCATGTGATGGCATGACTGCATGTGATGGCATGAGTGCATGTGATGGCATGACTGCATGTGATGGCATGAGTGCATGTGATGGCATGAGTGCATGTGATGGCATGACTGCATGTGATGGCATGACTGCATGTGATGGCATGAGTGCATGTGATGGCATGAGTGCATGTGATGGCATGAGTGCATGTGATGGCATGACTGCATGTGATGGCATGAGTGCATGTGATGGCATGAGTGCATGTGATGGCATGAGTGCATGTGATGGCATGACTGCATGTGATGGCATGACTGCATGTGATGGCATGAGTGCATGTGATGGCATGAGTGCATGTGACGGCATGAGTGCATGTGACGGCATGACTGCATGTGATGGCATGAGTGCATGTGATGGCATGAGTGCATGTGATGGCATGACTGCATGTGATGGCATGAGTGCATGTGATGGCATGACTGCATGTGATGGCATGAGTGCATGTGATGGCATGAGTGCATGTGATGGCATGACTGCATGTGATGGCATGAGTGCATGTGATGGCATGACTGCATGTGATGGCATGAGTGCATGTGATGGCATGAGTGCATGTGATGGCATGACTGCATGTGATGGCATGACTGCATGTGATGGCATGAGTGCATGTGATGGCATGACTGCATGTGATGGCATGAGTGCATGTGATGGCATGAGTGCATGTGATGGCATGACTGCATGTGATGGCATGACTGCATGTGATGGCATGAGTGCATGTGATGGCATGAGTGCATGTGATGGCATGAGTGCATGTGATGGCATGACTGCATGTGATGGCATGAGTGCATGTGATGGCATGAGTGCATGTGATGGCATGAGTGCATGTGATGGCATGACTGCATGTGATGGCATGACTGCATGTGATGGCATGAGTGCATGTGATGGCATGAGTGCATGTGATGGCATGAGTGCATGTGATGGCATGACTGCATGTGATGGCATGAGTGCATGTGATGGCATGAGTGCATGTGATGGCATGACTGCATGTGATGGCATGACTGCATGTGATGGCATGATGCATTGATGGCATGGTGCATGTGATGGCATGAGTGCATGTGATGGCATGAGTGCATGTGATTGGCATGAGTGCATGTGATGGCATGAGTGCATGTGATGGCATGAGTGCATGTGATGGCATGAGTGCATGTGATGGCATGAGTGCATGTGATGGCATGAGTGCATGTGATGGCATGACTGCATGTGATGGCATGACTGCATGTGATGGCATGAGTGCATGTGATGGCATGACTGCATGTGATGGCATGACTGCATGTGATGGCATGAGTGCATGTGATGGCATGAGTGCATGTGATGGCATGAGTGCATGTGATGGCATGAGTGCATGTGATGGCATGAGTGCATGTGATGGCATGAGTGCATGTGATGGCATGACTGCATGTGATGGCATGAGTGCATGTGATGGCATGACTGCATGTGATGGCATGACTGCATGTGATGGCATGACTGCATGTGATGGCATGACTGCATGTGATGGCATGAGTGCATGTGATGGCATGAGTGCATGTGATGGCATGAGTGCATGTGATGGCATGAGTGCATGTGATGGCATGAGTGCATGTGATGGCATGAGTGCATGTGATGGCATGAGTGCATGTGATGGCATGAGTGCATGTGGATGGCATGAGTGCATGTGATGGCATGAGTGCATGTGATGGCATGACTGCATGTGATGGCATGAGTGCATGTGATGGCATGAGTGCATGTGATGGCATGAGTGCATGTGATGGCATGACTGCATGTGATGGCATGAGTGCATGTGATGGCATGAGTGCATGTGATGGCATGAGTGCATGTGATGGCATGACTGCATGTGATGGCATGAGTGCATGTGATGGCATGAGTGCATGTGATGGCATGAGTGCATGTGATGGCATGAGTGCATGTGATGGCATGAGTGCATGTGATGGCATGAGTGCATGTGATGGCATGAGTGCATGTGATGGCATGAGTGCATGTGATGGCATGAGTGCATTGTGATGGCATGAGTGCATGTGATGGCATGAGTGCATGTGATGGCATGACTGCATGTGATGGCATGAGTGCATGTGATGGCATGAGTGCATGTGATGGCATGACTGCATGTGATGGCATGAGTGCATGTGATGGCATGAGTGCATGTGATGGCATGACTGCATGTGATGGCATGAGCTGCATGTGATGGCATGACTGCATGTGATGGCATGACTGCATGTGATGGCATGACTGCATGTGATGGCATGACTGCATGTGATGGCATGAGTGCATGTGATGGCATGAGTGCATGTGATGGCATGAGTGCATGTGATGGCATGAGTGCATGTGATGGCATGAGTGCATGTGATGGCATGAGTGCATGTGATGGCATGAGTGCATGTGATGGCATGAGTGCATGTGATGGCATGAGTGCATGTGATGGCATGAGTGCATGTGATGGCATGACTGCATGTGATGGCATGAGTGCATGTGATGGCATGAGTGCATGTGATGGCATGAGTGCATGTGATGGCATGAGTGCATGTGATGGCATGAGTGCATGTGATGGCATGAGTGCATGTGATGGCATGAGTGCATGTGATGGCATGAGTGCATGTGATGGCATGAGTGCATGTGATGGCATGAGTGCATGTGATGGCATGAGTGCATGTGATGGCATGAGTGCATGTGATGGCATGAGTGCATGTGATGGCATGAGTGCATGTGATGGCATGAGTGCATGTGATGGCATGAGTGCATGTGATGGCATGACTGCATGTGATGGCATGAGTGCATGTGATGGCATGAGTGCATGTGATGGCATGAGTGCATGTGATGGCATGAGTGCATGTGATGGCATGAGTGCATGTGATGGCATGAGTGCATGTGATGGCATGACTGCATGTGATGGCATGAGTGCATGTGATGGCATGAGTGCATGTGATGGCATGACTGCATGTGATGGCATGACTGCATGTGATGGCATGAGTGCATGTGATGGCATGAGTGCATGTGATGGCATGAGTGCATGTGATGGCATGAGTGCATGTGATGGCATGACTGCATGTGATGGCATGACTGCATGTGATGGCATGAGTGCATGTGATGGCATGAGTGCATGTGATGGCATGAGTGCATGTGATGGCATGAGTGCATGTGATGGCATGAGTGCATGTGATGGCATGAGTGCATGTGATGGCATGAGTGCATGTGATGGCATGACTGCATGTGATGGCATGAGTGCATGTGATGGCATGAGTGCATGTGATGGCATGACTGCATGTGATGGCATGAGTGCATGTGATGGCATGACTGCATGTGATGGCATGAGTGCATGTGATGGCATGAGTGCATGTGATGGCATGAGTGCATGTGATGGCATGAGTGCATGTGATGGCATGAGTGCATGTGATGGCATGACTGCATGTGATGGCATGAGTGCATGTGATGGCATGAGTGCATGTGATGGCATGACTGCATGTGATGGCATGAGTGCATGTGATGGCATGAGTGCATGTGATGGCATGACTGCATGTGATGGCATGACTGCATGTGATGGCATGAGTGCATGTGATGGCATGACTGCATGTGATGGCAGAGTGCATGTGATGGCATGAGTGCATGTGATGGCATGAGTGCATGTGATGGCATGAGTGCATGTGATGGCATGAGTGCATGTGATGGCATGACTGCATGTGATGGCATGACTGCATGTGATGGCATGAGTGCATGTGATGGCATGAGTGCATGTGATGGCATGAGTGCATGTGATGGCATGAGTGCATGTGATGGCATGAGTGCATGTGATGGCATGAGTGCATGTGATGGCATGACTGCATGTGATGGGCATGACTGCATGTGATGGCATGAGTGCATGTGATGGCATGAGTGCATGTGATGGCATGAGTGCATGTGATGGCATGACTGCATGTGATGGCATGAGTGCATGTGATGGCATGAGTGCATGTGATGGCATGACTGCATGTGATGGCATGAGTGCATGTGATGGCATGAGTGCATGTGATGGCATGAGTGCATGTGATGGCATGACTGCATGTGATGGCATGAGTGCATGTGATGGCATGAGTTGTGATGGCATGAGTGCATGTGATGGCATGAGTGGCATGTGATGGCATGAGTGCATGTGATGGCATGACTGCATGTGATGGCATGAGTGCATGTGATGGCATGAGTGCATGTGATGGCATGAGTGCATGTGATGGCATGAGTGCATGTGATGCATGACTGCATGTGATGGCATGAGTGCATGTGATGGCATGAGTGCATGTGATGGCATGAGTGCATGTGATGGCCATGACTGCATGTGATGGCATGAGTGCATGTGATGGCATGAGTGCATGTGATGGCATGACTGCATGTGATGGCATGAGTGCATGTGATGGCATGACTGCATGTGATGGCATGAGTGCATGTGATGGCATGAGTGCATGTGATGGCATGAGTGCATGTGATGGCATGAGTGCATGTGATGGCATGACTGCATGTGATGGCATGAGTGCATGTGATGGCATGAGTGCATGTGATGGCATGACTGCATGTGATGGCATGACTGCATGTGATGGCATGAGTGCATGTGATGGCATGAGTGCATGTGATGGCATGAGTGCATGTGATGGCATGAGTGCATGTGATGGCATGAGTGCATGTGATGGCATGAGTGCATGTGATGGCATGAGTGCATGTGATGGCATGAGTGCATGTGATGGCATGACTGCATGTGATGGCATGAGTGCATGTGATGGCATGAGTGCATGTGATGGCATGAGTGCATGTGATGGCATGAGTGCATGTGATGGCATGAGTGCATGTGATGGCATGAGTGCATGTGATGGCATGAGTGCATGTGATGGCATGAGTGCATGTGACGGCATGACTGCATGTGATGGCATGAGTGCATGTGATGGCATGAGTGCATGTGATGGCATGACTGCATGTGATGGCATGAGTGCATGTGATGGCATGACTGCATGTGATGGCATGAGTGCATGTGATGGCATGAGTGCATGTGATGGCATGACTGCATGTGATGGCATGAGTGCATGTGATGGCATGACTGCATGTGATGGCATGAGTGCATGTGATGGCATGAGTGCATGTGATGGCATGACTGCATGTGATGGCATGACTGCATGTGATGGCATGAGTGCATGTGATGGCATGACTGCATGTGATGGCATGAGTGCATGTGATGGCATGAGTGCATGTGATGGCATGACTGCATGTGATGGCATGACTGCATGTGATGGCATGAGTGCATGTGATGGCATGAGTGCATGTGATGGCATGAGTGCATGTGATGGCATGACTGCATGTGATGGCATGAGTGCATGTGATGGCATGAGTGCATGTGATGGCATGAGTGCATGTGATGGCATGACTGCATGTGATGGCATGACTGCATGTGATGGCATGAGTGCATGTGATGGCATGAAGTGCATGTGATGGCATGACTGCATGTGATGGCATGAGTGCATGTGATGGCATGAGTGCATGTGATGGCATGACTGCATGTGATGGCATGACTGCATGTGATGGCATGAGCTGCATGTGATGGCATGAGTGCATGTGATGGCATGAGTGCATGTGATGGCATGAGTGCATGTGATGGCATGAGTGCATGTGATGGCATGAGTGCATGTGATGGCATATGCATGGATGGCATGAGTGCATGTGATGGCATGAGTGCATGTGATGGCATGACTGCATGTGATGGCATGAGTGCATGTGATGGCATGAGTGCATGTGATGGCATGACTGCATGTGATGGCATGAGTGCATGTGATGGCATGAGTGCATGTGATGGCATGAGTGCATGTGATGGCATGAGTGCATGTGATGGCATGAGTGCATGTGATGGCATGAGTGCATGTGATGGCATGAGTGCATGTGATGGCATGAGTGCATGTGATGGCATGAGTGCATGTGATGGCATGACTGCATGTGATGCATGAGTGCATGGATGATGGCATGTGATGGCATGAGTGCATGTGATGGCATGACTGCATGTGATGGCATGACTGCATGTGATGGCATGAGTGCATGTGATGGCATGAGTGCATGTGATGGCATGAGTGCATGTGATGGCATGAGTGCATGTGATGGCATGACTGCATGTGATGGCATGAGTGCATGTGATGGCATGAGTGCATGTGATGGCATGAGTGCATGTGATGGCATGAGTGCATGTGATGGCATGACTGCATGTGATGGCATGAGTGCATGTGATGGCATGAGTGCATGTGATGGCATGAGTGCATGTGATGGCATGACTGCATGTGATGGCATGAGTGCATGTGATGGCATGAGTGCATGTGATGGCATGAGTGCATGTGATGGCATGAGTGCATGTGATGGCATGACTGCATGTGATGGCATGAGTGCATGTGATGGCATGAGTGCATGTGATGGCATGAGTGCATGTGATGGCATGACTGCATGTGATGGCATGACTGCATGTGATGGCATGAGTGCATGTGATGGCATGAGTGCATGTGATGGCATGAGTGCATGTGATGGCATGAGTGCATGTGATGGCATGAGTGAATGTGATGGCATGAGTGCATGTGATGGCATGAGTGCATGTGATGGCATGAGTGCATGTGATGGCATGAGTGCATGTGATGGCATGAGTGCATGTGATGGCATGAGTGCATGTGATGGCATGACTGCATGTGATGGCATGAGTGCATGTGATGGCATGAGTGCATGTGATGGCATGAGTGCATGTGATGGCATGAGTGCATGTGATGGCATGAGTGCATGTGATGGCATGAGTGCATGTGATGGCATGAGTGCATGTGATGGCATGAGTGCATGTGATGGCATGAGTGCATGTGATGGCATGAGTGCATGTGATGGCATGAGTGCATGTGATGGCATGACTGCATGTGATGGCATGAGTGCATGTGATGGCATGACTGCATGTGATGGCATGAGTGCATGTGATGGCATGAGTGCATGTGATGGCATGACTGCATGTGATGGCATGAGTGCATGTGATGGCATGACTGCATGTGATGGCATGAGTGCATGTGATGGCATGAGTGCATGTGATGGCATGACTGCATGTGATGGCATGACTGCATGTGATGGCATGACTGCATGTGATGGCATGAGTGCATGTGATGGCATGAGTGCATGTGATGGCATGAGTGCATGTGATGGCATGAGTGCATGTGATGGCATGACTGCATGTGATGGCATGACTGCATGTGATGGCATGAGTGCATGTGATGGCATGAGTGCATGTGATGGCATGAGTGCATGTGATGGCATGACTGCATGTGATGGCATGAGTGCATGTGATGGCATGAGTGCATGTGATGGCATGAGTGCATGTGATGGCATGACTGCATGTGATGGCATGAGTGCATGTGATGGCATGAGTGCATGTGATGGCATGAGTGCATGTGATGGCATGAGTGCATGTGATGGCATGACTGCATGTGATGGCATGACTGCATGTGATGGCATGAGTGCATGTGATGGCATGACTGCATGTGATGGCATGAGTGCATGTGATGGCATGAGTGCATGTGATGGCATGACTGCATGTGATGGCATGACTGCATGTGATGGCATGAGTGCATGTGATGGCATGAGTGCATGTGATGGCATGAGTGCATGTGATGGCATGACTGCATGTGATGGCATGAGTGCATGTGATGGCATGAGTGCATGTGATGGCATGACTGCATGTGATGGCATGAGTGCATGTGATGGCATGAGTGCATGTGATGGCATGACTGCATGTGATGGCATGACTGCATGTGATGGCATGAGTGCATGTGATGGCATGAGTGCATGTGATGGCATGAGTGCATGTGATGGCATGACTGCATGTGATGGCATGAGTGCATGTGATGGCATGAGTGCATGTGATGGCATGAGTGCATGTGATGGCATGACTGCATGTGATGGCATGAGTGCATGTGATGGCATGAGTGCATGTGATGGCATGAGTGCATGTGATGGCATGAGTGCATGTGATGGCATGACTGCATGTGATGGCATGAGTGCATGTGATGGCATGAGTGCATGTGATGGCATGACTGCATGTGATGGCATGAGTGCATGTGATGGCATGAGTGCATGTGATGGCATGACTGCATGTGATGGCATGACTGCATGTGATGGCATGAGTGCATGTGATGGCATGAGTGCATGTGATGGCATGAGTGCATGTGATGGCATGACTGCATGTGATGGCATGAGTGCATGTGATGGCATGAGTGCATGTGATGGCATGAGTGCATGTGATGGCATGAGTGCATGTGATGGCATGAGTGCATGTGATGCATGAGTGCATGTGATGGCATGAGTGCATGTGATGGCATGAGTGCATGTGATGGCATGAGTGCATGTGATGGCATGAGTGCATGTGATGGCATGACTGCATGTGATGGCATGAGTGCATGTGATGGCATGAGTGCATGTGATGGCATGACTGCATGTGATGGCATGAGTGCATGTGATGGCATGAGTGCATGTGATGGCATGACTGCATGTGATGGCATGAGTGCATGTGATGGCATGAGTGCATGTGATGGCATGAGTGCATGTGATGGCATGAGTGCATGTGATGGCATGAGTGCATGTGATGGCATGAGTGCATGTGATGGCATGAGTGCATGTGATGGCATGAGTGCATGTGATGGCATGACTGCATGTGATGGCATGAGTGCATGTGATGGCATGAGTGCATGTGATGGCATGACTGCATGTGATGGCATGAGTGCATGTGATGGCATGAGTGCATGTGATGGCATGAGTGCATGTGATGGCATGACTGCATGTGATGGCATGAGTGCATGTGATGGCATGAGTGCATGTGATGGCATGAGTGCATGTGATGGCATGACTGCATGTGATGGCATGAGTGCATGTGATGGCATGAGTGCATGTGATGGCATGAGTGCATGTGATGGCATGAGTGCATGTGATGGCATGACTGCATGTGATGGCATGAGTGCATGTGATGGCATGAGTGCATGTGATGGCATGACGTGCATGTGATGGCATGAGTGCATGTGATGGCATGAGTGCATGTGATGGCATGAGTGCATGTGATGGCATGAGTGCATGTGATGGCATGAGTGCATGTGATGGCATGAGTGCATGTGAGTGCATGTGATGGCATGAGTGCATGTGATGGCATGAGTGCATGTGATGGCATGACTGCATGTGATGGCATGAGTGCATGTGATGGCATGAGTGCATGTGATGGCATGAGTGCATGTGATGGCATGACTGCATGTGATGGCATGACTGCATGTGATGGCATGAGTGCATGTGATGGCATGAGTGCATGTGATGGCATGAGTGCATGTGATGGCATGAGTGCATGTGATGGCATGAGTGCATGTGATGGCATGAGTGCATGTGATGGCATGAGTGCATGTGATGGCATGAGTGCATGTGATGGCATGAGTGCATGTGATGGCATGAGTGCATGTGATGGCATGAGTGCATGTGATGGCATGAGTGCATGTGATGGCATGAGTGCATGTGATGGCATGAGTGCATGTGATGGCATGACTGCATGTGATGGCATGAGTGCATGTGATGGGCATGAGTGCATGTGATGGCATGACTGCATGTGATGGCATGAGTGCATGTGATGGCATGAGTGCATGTGATGGCATGACTGCATGTGATGGCATGACTGCATGTGATGGCATGAGTGCATGTGATGGCATGAGTGCATGTGATGGCATGACTGCATGTGATGGCATGACTGCATGTGATGGCATGAGTGCATGTGATGGCATGAGTGCATGTGATGGCATGAGTGCATGTGATGGCATGACTGCATGTGATGGCATGACTGCATGTGATGGCATGACTGCATGTGATGGCATGAGTGCATGTGATGGCATGAGTGCATGTGATGGCATGAGTGCATGTGATGGCATGAGTGCATGTGATGGCATGAGTGCATGTGATGGCATGAGTGCATGTGATGGCATGAGTGCATGTGATGGCATGAGTGCATGTGATGGCATGAGTGCATGTGATGGCATGAGTGCATGTGATGGCATGAGTGCATGTGATGGCATGACTGCATGTGATGGCATGAGTGCATGTGATGGCATGAGTGCATGTGATGGCATGAGTGCATGTGATGGCATGAGTGCATGTGATGGCATGAGTGCATGTGATGGCATGAGTGCATGTGATGGCATGAGTGCATGTGATGGCATGAGTGCATGTGATGGCATGAGCTGCATGTGATGGCATGAGTGCATGTGATGGCATGAGTGCATGTGATGGCATGACTGCATGTGATGGCATGACTGCATGTGATGGCATGAGTGCATGTGATGGCATGAGTGCATGTGATGGCATGACTGCATGTGATGGCATGACTGCATGTGATGGCATGAGTGCATGTGATGGCATGAGTGCATGTGATGGCATGAGTGCATGTGATGGCATGACTGCATGTGATGGCATGACTGCATGTGATGGGCATGAGTGCATGTGATGGCATGAGTGCATGTGATGGCATGAGTGCATGTGATGGCATGAGTGCATGTGATGGCATGAGTGCATGTGATGGCATGAGTGCATGTGATGGCATGAGTGCATGTGATGGCATGAGTGCATGTATGGCATGAGATGTGATGGCATGAGTGCATGTGATGGCATGAGTGCATGTGATGGCATGAGTGCATGTGATGGCATGAGTGCATGTGATGGCATGAGTGCATGTGATGGCATGACTGCATGTGATGGCATGAGTGCATGTGATGGCATGAGTGCATGTGATGGCATGACTGCATGTGATGGCATGAGTGCATGTGATGGCATGAGTGCATGTGATGGCATGACTGCATGTGATGGCATGAGTGCATGTGATGGCATGAGTGCATGTGATGGCATGACTGCATGTGATGGCATGAGTGCATGTGATGGCATGAGTGCATGTGATGGCATGAGTGCATGTGATGGCATGAGTGCATGTGATGGCATGAGTGCATGTGATGGCATGAGTGCATGTGATGGCATGACTGCATGTGATGGCCATGAGTGCATGTGATGGCATGAGTGCATGTGATGGCATGAGTGCATGTGATGGCATGAGTGCATGTGATGGCATGAGTGCATGTGATGGCATGAGTGCATGTGATGGCATGAGTGCATGTGATGGCATGAGTGCATGTGATGGCATGAGTGCATGTGATGGCATGAGTGCATGTGATGGCATGACTGCATGTGATGGCATGACTGCATGTGATGGCATGAGTGCATGTGATGGCATGAGTGCATGTGATGGCATGACTGCATGTGATGGCATGACTGCATGTGATGGCATGAGTGCATGTGATGGCATGAGTGCATGTGATGGCATGAGTGCATGTGATGGCATGACTGCATGTGATGGCATGACTGCATGTGATGGCATGAGTGCATGTGATGGCATGAGTGCATGTGATGGCATGAGTGCATGTGATGGCATGAGTGCATGTGATGGCATGAGTGCATGTGATGGCATGAGTGCATGTGATGGCATGACTGCATGTGATGGCATGAGTGCATGTGATGGCATGAGTGCATGTGATGGCATGACTGCATGTGATGCATGAGTGCATGTGATGGCATGAGTGCATGTGATGGGCATGAGTGCATGTGATGGCATGAGTGCATGTGATGGCATGAGTGCATGTGATGGCATGAGTGCATGTGATGGCATGAGTGCATGTGATGGCATGAGTGCATGTGATGGCATGAGTGCATGTGATGGCATGAGTGCATGTGATGGCATGAGTGCATGTGATGGCATGAGTGCATGTGATGGCATGAGTGCATGTGATGGCATGAGTGCATGTGATGGCATGAGTGCATGTGATGGCATGAGTGCATGTGATGGCATGAGTGCATGTGATGGCATGAGTGCATGTGATGGCATGAGTGCATGTGATGGCATGAGTGCATGTGATGGCATGAGTGCATGTGATGGCATGACTGCATGTGATGGCATGAGTGCATGTGATGGCATGAGTGCATGTGATGGCATGAGTGCATGTGATGGCATGAGTGCATGTGATGGCATGAGTGCATGTGATGGCATGACTGCATGTGATGGCATGAGTGCATGTGATGGCATGAGTGCATGTGATGGCATGGCATGAGTGCATGTGATGGCATGAGTGCATGTGATGGCATGACTGCATGTGATGGCATGAGTGCATGTGATGGCATGAGTGCATGTGATGGCATGAGTGCATGTGATGGCATGAGTGCATGTGATGGCATGAGTGCATGTGATGGCATGAGTGCATGTGATGGCATGACTGCATGTGATGGCATGAGTGCATGTGATGGCATGAGTGCATGTGATGGCATGACTGCATGTGATGGCATGAGTGCATGTGATGGCATGAGTGCATGTGATGCATGAGCTGCATGTGATGGCATGACTGCATGTGATGGCATGATTGCATGTGATGGCATGACTGCATGTGATGGCATGAGTGCATGTGATGGCATGAGTGCATGTGATGGCATGAGTGCATGTGATGGCATGAGTGCATGTGATGGCATGAGTGCATGTGATGGCATGACTGCATGTGATGGCATGACTGCATGTGATGGCATGAATGTGATGGCATGAGTGCATGTGATGGCATGAGTGCATGTGATGGCATGAGTGCATGTGATGGCATGAGTGCATGTGATGGCATGAGTGCATGTGATGGCATGACTGCATGTGATGGCATGACTGCATGTGATGGCATGAGTGCATGTGATGGCATGAGTGCATGTGATGGCATGAGTGCATGTGATGGCATGACTGCATGTGATGGCATGAGTGCATGTGATGGCATGAGTGCATGTGATGGCATGACTGCATGTGATGGCATGAGTGCATGTGATGGCATGAGTGCATGTGATGGCATGAGTGCATGTGATGGCATGACTGCATGTGATGGCATGAGTGCATGTGATGGCATGAGTGCATGTGATGGCATGAGTGCATGTGATGGCATGAGTGCATGTGATGGCATGACTGCATGTGATGGCATGAGTGCATGTGATGGCATGAGTGCATGTGATGGCATGAGTGCATGTGATGGCAATGAGTGCATGTGATGGCATGACTGCATGTGATGGCATGAGTGCATGTGATGGCATGAGTGCATGTGATGGCATGAGTGCATGTGATGGCATGAGTGCATGTGATGGCATGAGTGCATGTGATGGCATGACTGCATGTGATGGCATGAGTGCATGTGATGGCATGAGTGCATGTGATGGCATGACTGCATGTGATGGCATGAGTGCATGTGATGGCATGAGTGCATGTGATGGCATGACTGCATGTGATGGCATGACTGCATGTGATGGCATGAGTGCATGTGATGGCATGACTGCATGTGATGGCATGAGTGCATGTGATGGCATGAGTGCATGTGATGGCATGAGTGCATGTGATGGCATGAGTGCATGTGATGGCATGAGTGCATGTGATGGCATGACTGCATGTGATGGCATGAGTGCATGTGATGGCATGAGTGCATGTGATGGCATGAGTGCATGTGATGGCATGAGTGCATGTGATGGCATGAGTGCATGTGATGGCATGACTGCATGTGATGGCATGACTGCATGTGATGGCATGAGTGCATGTGATGGCATGAGTGCATGTGATGGCATGAGTGCATGTGATGGCATGACTGCATGTGATGGCATGAGTGCATGTGATGGCATGACTGCATGTGATGGCATGACTGCATGTGATGGCATGAGTGCATGTGATGGCATGAGTGCATGTGATGGCATGAGTGCATGTGATGGCATGAGTGCATGTGATGGCATGAGTGCATGTGATGGCATGACTGCATGTGATGGCATGACTGCATGTGATGGCATGAGTGCATGTGATGGCATGAGTGCATGTGATGGCATGAGTGCATGTGATGGCATGAGTGCATGTGATGGCATGAGTGCATGTGATGGCATGAGTGCATGTGATGGCATGACTGCATGTGATGGCATGACTGCATGTGATGGCATGAGTGCATGTGATGGCATGAGTGCATGTGATGGCATGAGTGCATGTGATGGCATGACTGCATGTGATGGCATGAGTGCATGTGATGGCATGAGTGCATGTGATGGCATGACTGCATGTGATGGCATGAGTGCATGTGATGGCATGAGTGCATGTGATGGCATGAGTGCATGTGATGGCATGACTGCATGTGATGGCATGAGTGCATGTGATGGCATGAGTGCATGTGATGGCATGAGTGCATGTGATGGCATGAGTGCATGTGATGGCATGACTGCATGTGATGGCATGAGTGCATGTGATGGCATGAGTGCATGTGATGGCATGAGTGCATGTGATGGCATGAGTGCATGTGATGGCATTGACTGCATGTGATGGCATGAGTGCATGTGATGGCATGAGTGCATGTGATGGCATGAGTGCATGTGATGGCATGACTGCATGTGATGGCATGAGTGCATGTGATGGCATGAGTGCATGTGATGGCATGAGTGCATGTGATGGCATGAGTGCATGTGATGGCATGAGTGCATGTGATGGCATGACTGCATGTGATGGCATGAGTGCATGTGATGGCATGAGTGCATGTGATGGCATGAGTGCATGTGATGGCATGAGTGCATGTGATGGCATGAGTGCATGTGATGGCATGAGTGCATGTGATGGCATGACTGCATGTGATGGCATGAGTGCATGTGATGGCATGACTGCATGTGATGGCATGAGTGCATGTGATGGCATGAGTGCATGTGATGGCATGAGTGCATGTGATGGCATGAGTGCATGTGATGGCATGAGTGCATGTGATGGCATGACTGCATGTGATGGCATGAGTGCATGTGATGGCATGAGTGCATGTGATGGCATGACTGCATGTGATGGCATGAGTGCATGTGATGGCATGAGTGCATGTGATGGCATGACTGCATGTGATGGCATGACTGCATGTGATGGCATGAGTGCATGTGATGGCATGACTGCATGTGATGGCATGAGTGCATGTGATGGCATGAGTGCATGTGATGGCATGAGTGCATGTGATGGCATGAGTGCATGTGATGGCATGACTGCATGTGATGGCATGACTGCATGTGATGGCATGAGTGCATGTGATGGCATGAGTGCATGTGATGGCATGAGTGCATGTGATGGCATGAGTGCATGTGATGGCATGAGTGCATGTGATGGCATGAGTGCATGTGATGGCATGACTGCATGTGATGGCATGACTGCATGTGATGGCATGAGTGCATGTGATGGCATGAGTGCATGTGATGGCATGAGTGCATGTGATGGCATGACTGCATGTGATGGCATGAGTGCATGTGATGGCATGAGTGCATGTGATGGCATGACTGCATGTGATGGCATGAGTGCATGTGATGGCATGAGTGCATGTGATGGCATGAGTGCATGTGATGGCATGACTGCATGTGATGGCATGAGTGCATGTGATGGCATGAGTGCATGTGATGGCATGAGTGCATGTGATGGCATGAGTGCATGTGATGGCATGACTGCATGTGATGGCATGAGTGCATGTGATGGCATGAGTGCATGTGATGGCATGAGTGCATGTGATGGCATGAGTGCATGTGATGGCATGACTGCATGTGATGGCATGAGTGCATGTGATGGCATGAGTGCATGTGATGGCATGAGTGCATGTGATGGCATGAGTGCATGTGATGGCATGACTGCATGTGATGGCATGACTGCATGTGATGGCATGAGTGCATGTGATGGCATGAGTGCATGTGATGGCATGAGTGCATGTGATGGCATGACTGCATGTGATGGCATGAGTGCATGTGATGGCATGAGTGCATGTGATGGCATGACTGCATGTGATGGCATGAGTGCATGTGATGGCATGAGTGCATGTGATGGCATGAGTGCATGTGATGGCATGACTGCATGTGATGGCATGAGTGCATGTGATGGCATGAGTGCATGTGATGGCATGAGTGCATGTGATGGCATGAGTGCATGTGATGGCATGACTGCATGTGATGGCATGAGTGCATGTGATGGCATGAGTGCATGTGATGGCATGAGTGCATGTGATGGCATGACTGCATTGATGGCATGAGTGCATGTGATGGCATGAGTGCATGTGATGGCATGAGTGCATGTGATGGCATGAGTGCATGTGATGGCATGAGTGCATGTGATGGCATGAGTGCATGTGATGGCATGAGTGCATGTGATGGCATGAGTGCATGTGATGGCATGAGTGCATGTGATGGCATGAGTGCATGTGATGGCATGAGTGCATGTGATGGCATGAGTGCATGTGATGGCATGAGCTGCATGTGATGGCATGACTGCATGTGATGGCATGACTGCATGTGATGGCATGAGTGCATGTGATGGCATGACGTGCATGTGATGGCATGACTGCATGTGATGGCATGAGTGCATGTGATGGCATGAGTGCATGTGATGGCATGAGTGCATGTGATGGCATGAGTGCATGTGATGGCATGAGTGCATGTGATGGCATGAGTGCATGTGATGGCATGAGTGCATGTGATGGCATGAGTGCATGTGATGGCATGAGTGCATGTGATGGCATGAGTGCATGTGATGGCATGAGTGCATGTGATGGCATGAGTGCATGTGATGGCATGAGTGCATGTGATGGCATGAGTGCATGTGATGGCATGACTGCATGTGATGGCATGAGTGCATGTGATGGCATGAGTGCATGTGATGGCATGAGTGCATGTGATGGCATGAGTGCATGTGATGGCATGAGTGCATGTGATGGCATGACTGCATGTGATGGCATGAGTGCATGTGATGGCATGAGTGCATGTGATGGCATGAGTGCATGTGATGGCATGAGTGCATGTGATGGCATGAGTGCATGTGATGGCATGACTGCATGTGATGGCATGACTGCATGTGATGGCATGAGTGCATGTGATGGCATGAGTGCATGTGATGGCATGACTGCATGTGATGGCATGACTGCATGTGATGGCATGAGTGCATGTGATGGCATGAGTGCATGTGATGGCATGAGTGCATGTGATGGCATGAGTGCATGTGATGGCATGACTGCATGTGATGGCATGAGTGCATGTGATGGCATGAGTGCATGTGATGGCATGAGTGCATGTGATGGCATGAGTGCATGTGATGGCATGAGTGCATGTGATGGCATGAGTGCATGTGATGGCATGAGTGCATGTGATGGCATGAGTGCATGTGATGGCATGAGTGCATGTGATGGCATGAGTGCATGTGATGGCATGAGTGCATGTGATGGCATGAGTGCATGTGATGGCATGAGTGCATGTGATGGCATGAGTGCATGTGATGGCATGAGTGCATGTGATGGCATGAGTGCATGTGATGGCATGAGTGCATGTGATGGCATGAGTGCATGTGATGGCATGAGTGCATGTGATGGCATGAGTGCATGTGATGGCATGACTGCATGTGATGGCATGACTGCATGTGATGGCATGAGTGCATGTGATGGCATGAGTGCATGTGATGGCATGAGTGCATGTGATGGCATGAGTGCATGTGATGGCATGAGTGCATGTGATGGCATGAGTGCATGTGATGGCATGACTGCATGTGATGGCATGAGTGCATGTGATGGCATGAGTGCATGTGATGGCATGACTGCATGTGATGGCATGAGTGCATGTGATGGCATGAGTGCATGTGATGGCATGAGTGCATGTGATGGCATGAGTGCATGTGATGGCATGAGTGCATGTGATGGCATGAGTGCATGTGATGGCATGAGTGCATGTGATGGCATGACTGCATGTGATGGCATGAGTGCATGTGATGGCATGAGTGCATGTGATGGCATGAGTGCATGTGATGGCATGAGTGCATGTGATGGCATGAGTGCATGTGATGGCATGAGTGCATGTGATGGCATGAGTGCATGTGATGGCATGAGTGCATGTGATGGCATGAGTGCATGTGATGGCATGACTGCATGTGATGGCATGAGTGCATGTGATGGCATGAGTGCATGTGATGGCATGAGTGCATGTGATGGCATGACTGCATGTGATGGCATGAGTGCATGTGATGGCATGACTGCATGTGATGGCATGAGTGCATGTGATGGCATGAGTGCATGTGATGGCATGAGTGCATGTGATGGCATGAGTGCATGTGATGGCATGAGTGCATGTGATGAGTGCATGTGATGGCATGACTGCATGTGATGGCATGACTGCATGTGATGGCATGAGTGCATGTGATGGCATGAGTGCATGTGATGGCATGAGTGCATGTGATGGCATGAGTGCATGTGATGGCATGAGTGCATGTGATGGCATGAGTGCATGTGATGGCATGACTGCATGTGATGGCATGACTGCATGTGATGGCATGAGTGCATGTGATGGCATGAGTGCATGTGATGGCATGAGTGCATGTGATGGCATGACTGCATGTGATGGCATGAGTGCATGTGATGGCATGAGTGCATGTGATGGCATGACTGCATGTGATGGCATGAGTGCATGTGATGGCATGAGTGCATGTGATGGCATGAGTGCATGTGATGGCATGACTGCATGTGATGGCATGAGTGCATGTGATGGCATGAGTGCATGTGATGGCATGAGTGCATGTGATGGCATGAGTGCATGTGATGGCATGACTGCATGTGATGGCATGAGTGCATGTGATGGCATGAGTGCATGTGATGGCATGAGTGCATGTGATGGCATGAGTGCATGTGATGGCATGACTGCATGTGATGGCATGAGTGCATGTGATGGCATGAGTGCATGTGATGGCATGAGTGCATGTGATGGCATGACTGCATGTGATGGCATGAGTGCATGTGATGGCATGAGTGCATGTGATGGCATGAGTGCATGTGATGGCATGAGTGCATGTGATGGCATGAGTGCATGTGATGGCATGACTGCATGTGATGGCATGAGTGCATGTGATGGCATGAGTGCATGTGATGGCATGAGTGCATGTGATGGCATGAGTGCATGTGATGGCATGAGTGCATGTGATGGCATGACTGCATGTGATGGCATGAGTGCATGTGATGGCATGAGTGCATGTGATGGCATGACTGCATGTGATGGCATGAGTGCATGTGATGGCATGAGTGCATGTGATGGCATGACTGCATGTGATGGCATGACTGCATGTGATGGCATGAGTGCATGTGATGGCATGACTGCATGTGATGGCATGAGTGCATGTGATGGCATGAGTGCATGTGATGGCATGAGTGCATGTGATGGCATGAGTGCATGTGATGGCATGAGTGCATGTGATGGCATGACTGCATGTGATGGCATGAGTGCATGTGATGGCATGAGTGCATGTGATGGCATGAGTGCATGTGATGGCATGAGTGCATGTGATGGCATGAGTGCATGTGATGGCATGAGTGCATGTGATGGCATGACTGCATGTGATGGCATGAGTGCATGTGATGGCATGAGTGCATGTGATGGCATGAGTGCATGTGATGGCATGAGTGCATGTGATGGCATGAGTGCATGTGATGGCATGACTGCATGTGATGGCATGAGTGCATGTGATGGCATGACTGCATGTGATGGCATGAGTGCATGTGATGGCATGACTGCATGTGATGGCATGAGTGCATGTGATGGCATGAGTGCATGTGATGGCATGAGTGCATGTGATGGCATGACTGCATGTGATGGCATGAGTGCATGTGATGGCATGAGTGCATGTGATGGCATGACTGCATGTGATGGCATGAGTGCATGTGATGGCATGAGTGCATGTGATGGCATGACTGCATGTGATGGCATGACTGCATGTGATGGCATGAGTGCATGTGATGGCATGAGTGCATGTGATGGCATGAGTGCATGTGATGGCATGAGTGCATGTGATGGCATGACTGCATGTGATGGCATGAGTGCATGTGATGGCATGAGTGCATGTGATGGCATGAGTGCATGTGATGGCATGAGTGCATGTGATGGCATGAGTGCATGTGATGGCATGACTGCATGTGATGGCATGAGTGCATGTGATGGCATGAGTGCATGTGATGGCATGAGTGCATGTGATGGCATGAGTGCATGTGATGGCATGAGTGCATGTGATGGCATGACTGCATGTGATGGCATGAGTGCATGTGATGGCATGACTGCATGTGATGGCATGAGTGCATGTGATGGCATGAGTGCATGTGATGGCATGAGTGCATGTGATGGCATGAGTGCATGTGATGGCATGAGTGCATGTGATGGCATGACTGCATGTGATGGCATGAGTGCATGTGATGGCATGAGTGCATGTGATGGCATGACTGCATGTGATGGCATGAGTGCATGTGATGGCATGAGTGCATGTGATGGCATGACTGCATGTGATGGCATGACTGCATGTGATGGCATGAGTGCATGTGATGGCATGACTGCATGTGATGGCATGAGTGCATGTGATGGCATGAGTGCATGTGATGGCATGAGTGCATGTGATGGCATGAGTGCATGTGATGGCATGAGTGCATGTGATGGCATGACTGCATGTGATGGCATGACTGCATGTGATGGCATGAGTGCATGTGATGGCATGAGTGCATGTGATGGCATGAGTGCATGTGATGGCATGAGTGCATGTGATGGCATGAGTGCATGTGATGGCATGAGTGCATGTGATGGCATGACTGCATGTGATGGCATGACTGCATGTGATGGCATGAGTGCATGTGATGGCATGAGTGCATGTGATGGCATGAGTGCATGTGATGGCATGACTGCATGTGATGGCATGAGTGCATGTGATGGCATGAGTGCATGTGATGGCATGACTGCATGTGATGGCATGAGTGCATGTGATGGCATGAGTGCATGTGATGGCATGAGTGCATGTGATGGCATGAGTGCATGTGATGGCATGACTGCATGTGATGGCATGAGTGCATGTGATGGCATGAGTGCATGTGATGGCATGAGTGCATGTGATGGCATGAGTGCATGTGATGGCATGACTGCATGTGATGGCATGAGTGCATGTGATGGCATGAGTGCATGTGATGGCATGAGTGCATGTGATGGCATGAGTGCATGTGATGGCATGACTGCATGTGATGGCATGAGTGCATGTGATGGCATGAGTGCATGTGATGGCATGAGTGCATGTGATGGCATGAGTGCATGTGATGGCATGAGTGCATGTGATGGCATGACTGCATGTGATGGCATGAGTGCATGTGATGGCATGACTGCATGTGATGGCATGAGTGCATGTGATGGCATGAGTGCATGTGATGGCATGAGTGCATGTGATGGCATGAGTGCATGTGATGGCATGAGTGCATGTGATGGCATGACTGCATGTGATGGCATGAGTGCATGTGATGGCATGAGTGCATGTGATGGCATGACTGCATGTGATGGCATGAGTGCATGTGATGGCATGAGTGCATGTGATGGCATGACTGCATGTGATGGCATGACTGCATGTGATGGCATGAGTGCATGTGATGGCATGACTGCATGTGATGGCATGAGTGCATGTGATGGCATGAGTGCATGTGATGGCATGAGTGCATGTGATGGCATGAGTGCATGTGATGGCATGAGTGCATGTGATGGCATGACTGCATGTGATGGCATGACTGCATGTGATGGCATGAGTGCATGTGATGGCATGAGTGCATGTGATGGCATGAGTGCATGTGATGGCATGAGTGCATGTGATGGCATGAGTGCATGTGATGGCATGACTGCATGTGATGGCATGACTGCATGTGATGGCATGAGTGCATGTGATGGCATGAGTGCATGTGATGGCATGAGTGCATGTGATGGCATGACTGCATGTGATGGCATGAGTGCATGTGATGGCATGAGTGCATGTGATGGCATGACTGCATGTGATGGCATGAGTGCATGTGATGGCATGAGTGCATGTGATGGCATGAGTGCATGTGATGGCATGACTGCATGTGATGGCATGAGTGCATGTGATGGCATGAGTGCATGTGATGGCATGAGTGCATGTGATGGCATGAGTGCATGTGATGGCATGACTGCATGTGATGGCATGAGTGCATGTGATGGCATGAGTGCATGTGATGGCATGAGTGCATGTGATGGCATGACTGCATGTGATGGCATGAGTGCATGTGATGGCATGAGTGCATGTGATGGCATGAGTTGAGTGCATGTGATGGCATGAGTGCATGTGATGGCATGAGTGCATGTGATGGCATGACTGCATGTGATGGCATGACTGCATGTGATGGCATGAGTGCATGTGATGGCATGACTGCATGTGATGGCATGAGTGCATGTGATGGCATGAGTGCATGTGATGGCATGAGTGCATGTGATGGCATGAGTGCATGTGATGGCATGAGTGCATGTGATGGCATGACTGCATGTGATGGCATGACTGCATGTGATGGCATGAGTGCATGTGATGGCATGAGTGCATGTGATGGCATGAGTGCATGTGATGGCATGAGTGCATGTGATGGCATGAGTGCATGTGATGGCATGAGTGCATGTGATGGCATGACTGCATGTGATGGCATGACTGCATGTGATGGCATGAGTGCATGTGATGGCATGAGTGCATGTGATGGCATGAGTGCATGTGATGGCATGACTGCATGTGATGGCATGAGTGCATGTGATGGCATGAGTGCATGTGATGGCATGACTGCATGTGATGGCATGAGTGCATGTGATGGCATGAGTGCATGTGATGGCATGAGTGCATGTGATGGCATGACTGCATGTGATGGCATGACTGCATGTGATGGCATGAGTGCATGTGATGGCATGAGTGCATGTGATGGCATGAGTGCATGTGATGGCATGAGTGCATGTGATGGCATGAGTGCATGTGATGGCATGAGTGCATGTGATGGCATGACTGCATGTGATGGCATGACTGCATGTGATGGCATGAGTGCATGTGATGGCATGAGTGCATGTGATGGCATGACTGCATGTGATGGCATGACTGCATGTGATGGCATGAGTGCATGTGATGGCATGACTGCATGTGATGGCATGAGTGCATGTGATGGCATGAGTGCATGTGATGGCATGAGTGCATGTGATGGCATGAGTGCATGTGATGGCATGAGTGCATGTGATGGCATGACTGCATGTGATGGCATGACTGCATGCATGAGTGCATGTGATGGCATGAGTGCATGTGATGGCATGAGTGCATGTGATGGCATGAGTGCATGTGATGGCATGAGTGCATGTGATGGCATGAGTGCATGTGATGGCATGACTGCATGTGATGGCATGACTGCATGTGATGGCATGAGTGCATGTGATGGCATGAGTGCATGTGATGGCATGAGTGCATGTGATGGCATGACTGCATGTGATGGCATGAGTGCATGTGATGGCATGAGTGCATGTGATGGCATGACTGCATGTGATGGCATGAGTGCATGTGATGGCATGAGTGCATGTGATGGCATGAGTGCATGTGATGGCATGACTGCATGTGATGGCATGAGTGCATGTGATGGCATGAGTGCATGTGATGGCATGAGTGCATGTGATGGCATGAGTGCATGTGATGGCATGACTGCATGTGATGGCATGAGTGCATGTGATGGCATGAGTGCATGTGATGGCATGAGTGCATGTGATGGCATGAGTGCATGTGATGGCATGACTGCATGTGATGGCATGAGTGCATGTGATGGCATGAGTGCATGTGATGGCATGAGTGCATGTGATGGCATGACTGCATGTGATGGCATGAGTGCATGTGATGGCATGAGTGCATGTGATGGCATGAGTGCATGTGATGGCATGAGTGCATGTGATGGCATGAGTGCATGTGATGGCATGACTGCATGTGATGGCATGAGTGCATGTGATGGCATGAGTGCATGTGATGGCATGAGTGCATGTGATGGCATGAGTGCATGTGATGGCATGAGTGCATGTGATGGCATGACTGCATGTGATGGCATGAGTGCATGTGATGGCATGAGTGCATGTGATGGCATGACTGCATGTGATGGCATGAGTGCATGTGATGGCATGAGTGCATGTGATGGCATGACTGCATGTGATGGCATGACTGCATGTGATGGCATGAGTGCATGTGATGGCATGACTGCATGTGATGGCATGAGTGCATGTGATGGCATGAGTGCATGTGATGGCATGAGTGCATGTGATGGCATGAGTGCATGTGATGGCATGAGTGCATGTGATGGCATGACTGCATGTGATGGCATGAGTGCATGTGATGGCATGAGTGCATGTGATGGCATGAGTGCATGTGATGGCATGAGTGCATGTGATGGCATGAGTGCATGTGATGGCATGACTGCATGTGATGGCATGACTGCATGTGATGGCATGAGTGCATGTGATGGCATGAGTGCATGTGATGGCATGAGTGCATGTGATGGCATGAGTGCATGTGATGGCATGAGTGCATGTGATGGCATGACTGCATGTGATGGCATGAGTGCATGTGATGGCATGAGTGCATGTGATGGCATGAGTGCATGTGATGGCATGAGTGCATGTGATGGCATGAGTGCATGTGATGGCATGACTGCATGTGATGGCATGAGTGCATGTGATGGCATGAGTGCATGTGATGGCATGACTGCATGTGATGGCATGAGATGGCATGAGTGCATGTGATGCATGAGTGCATGTGATGGCATGACTGCATGTGATGGCATGACTGCATGTGATGGCATGAGTGCATGTGATGGCATGACTGCATGTGATGGCATGAGTGCATGTGATGGCATGAGTGCATGTGATGGCATGAGTGCATGTGATGGCATGAGTGCATGTGATGGCATGAGTGCATGTGATGGCATGACTGCATGTGATGGCATGAGTGCATGTGATGGCATGAGTGCATGTGATGGCATGAGTGCATGTGATGGCATGAGTGCATGTGATGGCATGAGTGCATGTGATGGCATGACTGCATGTGATGGCATGACTGCATGTGATGGCATGAGTGCATGTGATGGCATGAGTGCATGTGATGGCATGACTGCATGTGATGGCATGAGTGCATGTGATGGCATGAGTGCATGTGATGGCATGAGTGCATGTGATGGCATGAGTGCATGTGATGGCATGAGTGCATGTGATGGCATGAGTGCATGTGATGGCATGACTGCATGTGATGGCATGAGTGCATGTGATGGCATGAGTGCATGTGATGGCATGAGTGCATGTGATGGCATGAGTGCATGTGATGGCATGAGTGCATGTGATGGCATGACTGCATGTGATGGCATGAGTGCATGTGATGGCATGAGTGCATGTGATGGCATGAGTGCATGTGATGGCATGACTGCATGTGATGGCATGACTGCATGTGATGGCATGAGTGCATGTGATGGCATGAGTGCATGTGATGGCATGAGTGCATGTGATGGCATGAGTGCATGTGATGGCATGAGTGCATGTGATGGCATGAGTGCATGTGATGGCATGACTGCATGTGATGGCATGACTGCATGTGATGGCATGAGTGCATGTGATGGCATGAGTGCATGTGATGGCATGAGTGCATGTGATGGCATGACTGCATGTGATGGCATGAGTGCATGTGATGGCATGAGTGCATATGATGGCATGACTGCATGTGATGGCATGAGTGCATGTGATGGCATGAGTGCATGTGATGGCATGAGTGCATGTGATGGCATGACTGCATGTGATGGCATGAGTGCATGTGATGGCATGAGTGCATGTGATGGCATGAGTGCATGTGATGGCATGAGTGCATGTGATGGCATGACTGCATGTGATGGCATGAGTGCATGTGATGGCATGAGTGCATGTGATGGCATGAGTGCATGTGATGGCATGAGTGCATGTGATGGCATGACTGCATGTGATGGCATGAGTGCATGTGATGGCATGAGTGCATGTGATGGCATGAGTGCATGTGATGGCATGACTGCATGTGATGGCATGAGTGCATGTGATGGCATGAGTGCATGTGATGGCATGAGTGCATGTGATGGCATGAGTGCATGTGATGGCATGACTGCATGTGATGGCATGACTGCATGTGATGGCATGAGTGCATGTGATGGCATGAGTGCATGTGATGGCATGAGTGCATGTGATGGCATGAGTGCATGTGATGGCATGAGTGCATGTGATGGCATGACTGCATGTGATGGCATGAGTGCATGTGATGGCATGAGTGCATGTGATGGCATGACTGCATGTGATGGCATGAGTGCATGTGATGGCATGAGTGCATGTGATGGCATGACTGCATGTGATGGCATGACTGCATGTGATGGCATGAGTGCATGTGATGGCATGACTGCATGTGATGGCATGAGTGCATGTGATGGCATGAGTGCATGTGATGGCATGAGTGCATGTGATGGCATGAGTGCATGTGATGGCATGAGTGCATGTGATGGCATGACTGCATGTGATGGCATGAGTGCATGTGATGGCATGAGTGCATGTGATGGCATGAGTGCATGTGATGGCATGAGTGCATGTGATGGCATGAGTGCATGTGATGGCATGACTGCATGTGATGGCATGACTGCATGTGATGGCATGAGTGCATGTGATGGCATGAGTGCATGTGATGGCATGACTGCATGTGATGGCATGATGCATGTGATGGCATGAGTGCATGTGATGGCATGAGTGCATGTGATGGCATGAGTGCATGTGATGGCATGAGTGCATGTGATGGCATGAGTGCATGTGATGGCATGACTGCATGTGATGGCATGAGTGCATGTGATGGCATGAGTGCATGTGATGGCATGAGTGCATGTGATGGCATGAGTGCATGTGATGGCATGAGTGCATGTGATGGCATGACTGCATGTGATGGCATGACTGCATGTGATGGCATGAGTGCATGTGATGGCATGAGTGCATGTGATGGCATGAGTGCATGTGATGGCATGAGTGCATGTGATGGCATGACTGCATGTGATGGCATGAGTGCATGTGATGGCATGACTGCATGTGATGGCATGAGTGCATGTGATGGCATGAGTGCATGTGATGGCATGAGTGCATGTGATGGCATGAGTGCATGTGATGGCATGAGTGCATGTGATGGCATGACTGCATGTGATGGCATGAGTGCATGTGATGGCATGAGTGCATGTGATGGCATGACTGCATGTGATGGCATGAGTGCATGTGATGGCATGAGTGCATGTGATGGCATGACTGCATGTGATGGCATGACTGCATGTGATGGCATGAGTGCATGTGATGGCATGACTGCATGTGATGGCATGAGTGCATGTGATGGCATGAGTGCATGTGATGGCATGAGTGCATGTGATGGCATGAGTGCATGTGATGGCATGAGTGCATGTGATGGCATGACTGCATGTGATGGCATGACTGCATGTGATGGCATGAGTGCATGTGATGGCATGAGTGCATGTGATGGCATGAGTGCATGTGATGGCATGAGTGCATGTGATGGCATGAGTGCATGTGATGGCATGAGTGCATGTGATGGCATGACTGCATGTGATGGCATGACTGCATGTGATGGCATGAGTGCATGTGATGGCATGAGTGCATGTGATGGCATGAGTGCATGTGATGGCATGACTGCATGTGATGGCATGAGTGCATGTGATGGCATGAGTGCATGTGATGGCATGACTGCATGTGATGGCATGAGTGCATGTGATGGCATGAGTGCATGTGATGGCATGACTGCATGTGATGGCATGAGTGCATGTGATGGCATGAGCTGCATGTGATGGCATGAGTGCATGTGATGGCATGAGTGCATGTGATGGCATGAGTGCATGTGATGGCATGAGTGCATGTGATGGCATGACTGCATGTGATGGCATGAGTGCATGTGATGGCATGAGTGCATGTGATGGCATGAGTGCATGTGATGGCATGAGTGCATGTGATGGCATGACTGCATGTGATGGCATGAGTGCATGTGATGGCATGAGTGCATGTGATGGCATGAGTGCATGTGATGGCATGAGTGCATGTGATGGCATGAGTGCATGTGATGGCATGAGTGCATGTGATGGCATGAGTGCATGTGATGGCATGAGTGCATGTGATGGCATGAGTGCATGTGATGGCATGAGTGCATGTGATGGCATGACTGCATGTGATGGCATGAGTGCATGTGATGGCATGACTGCATGTGATGGCATGACTGCATGTGATGGCATGAGTGCATGTGATGGCATGACTGCATGTGATGGCATGAGTGCATGTGATGGCATGAGTGCATGTGATGGCATGAGTGCATGTGATGGCATGAGTGCATGTGATGGCATGAGTGCATGTGATGGCATGACTGCATGTGATGGCATGAGTGCATGTGATGGCATGAGTGCATGTGATGGCATGAGTGCATGTGATGGCATGAGTGCATGTGATGGCATGAGTGCATGTGATGGCATGACTGCATGTGATGGCATGACTGCATGTGATGGCATGAGTGCATGTGATGGCATGAGTGCATGTGATGGCATGACTGCATGTGATGGCATGACTGCATGTGATGGCATGAGTGCATGTGATGGCATGACTGCATGTGATGGCATGAGTGCATGTGATGGCATGAGTGCATGTGATGGCATGAGTGCATGTGATGGCATGAGTGCATGTGATGGCATGAGTGCATGTGATGGCATGACTGCATGTGATGGCATGACTGCATGTGATGGCATGAGTGCATGTGATGGCATGAGTGCATGTGATGGCATGAGTGCATGTGATGGCATGAGTGCATGTGATGGCATGAGTGCATGTGATGGCATGAGTGCATGTGATGGCATGACTGCATGTGATGGCATGACTGCATGTGATGGCATGAGTGCATGTGATGGCATGAGTGCATGTGATGGCATGAGTGCATGTGATGGCATGACTGCATGTGATGGCATGAGTGCATGTGATGGCATGAGTGCATGTGATGGCATGACTGCATGTGATGGCATGAGTGCATGTGATGGCATGAGTGCATGTGATGGCATGAGTGCATGTGATGGCATGACTGCATGTGATGGCATGAGTGCATGTGATGGCATGAGTGCATGTGATGGCATGAGTGCATGTGATGGCATGAGTGCATGTGATGGCATGACTGCATGTGATGGCATGAGTGCATGTGATGGCATGAGTGCATGTGATGGCATGAGTGCATGTGATGGCATGAGACTGCATGTGATGGCATGACTGCATGTGATGGCATGAGTGCATGTGATGGCATGAGTGCATGTGATGGCATGAGTGCATGTGATGGCATGACTGCATGTGATGGCATGAGTGCATGTGATGGCATGAGTGCATGTGATGGCATGAGTGCATGTGATGGCATGAGTGCATGTGATGGCATGAGTGCATGTGATGGCATGACTGCATGTGATGGCATGAGTGCATGTGATGGCATGAGTGCATGTGATGGCATGAGTGCATGTGATGGCATGAGTGCATGTGATGGCATGAGTGCATGTGATGGCATGAGTGCATGTGATGGCATGAGTGCATGTGATGGCATGACTGCATGTGATGGCATGAGTGCATGTGATGGCATGAGTGCATGTGATGGCATGAGTGCATGTGATGGCATGAGTGCATGTGATGGCATGAGTGCATGTGATGGCATGACGTGCATGTGATGGCATGAGTGCATGTGATGGCATGAGTGCATGTGATGGCATGACTGCATGTGATGGCATGAGTGCATGTGATGGCATGAGTGCATGTGATGGCATGACTGCATGTGATGGCATGACTGCATGTGATGGCATGAGTGCATGTGATGGCATGACTGCATGTGATGGCATGAGTGCATGTGATGGCATGAGTGCATGTGATGGCATGAGTGCATGTGATGGCATGAGTGCATGTGATGGCATGAGTGCATGTGATGGCATGACTGCATGTGATGGCATGACTGCATGTGATGGCATGAGTGCATGTGATGGCATGAGTGCATGTGATGGCATGAGTGCATGTGATGGCATGAGTGCATGTGATGGCATGAGTGCATGTGATGGCATGAGTGCATGTGATGGCATGACTGCATGTGATGGCATGACTGCATGTGATGGCATGAGTGCATGTGATGGCATGAGTGCATGTGATGGCATGAGTGCATGTGATGGCATGACTGCATGTGATGGCATGAGTGCATGTGATGGCATGACTGCATGTGATGTGCATGTGATGGCATGAGTGCATGTGATGGCATGAGTGCATGTGATGGCATGAGTGCATGTGATGGCATGAGTGCATGTGATGGCATGAGTGCATGTGATGGCATGAGTGCATGTGATGGCATGAGTGCATGTGATGGCATGAGTGCATGTGATGGCATGAGTGCATGTGATGGCATGAGTGCATGTGATGGCATGAGTGCATGTGATGGCATGAGTGCATGTGATGGCATGAGTGCATGTGATGGCATGAGTGCATGTGATGGCATGAGTGCATGTGATGGCATGAGTGCATGTGATGGCATGAGTGCATGTGATGGCATGAGTGCATGTGATGGCATGAGTGCATGTGATGGCATGAGTGCATGTGATGGCATGAGTGCATGTGATGGCATGAGTGCATGTGATGGCATGAGTGCATGTGATGGCATGACTGCATGTGATGGCATGAGTGCATGTGATGGCATGAGTGCATGTGATGGCATGAGTGCATGATGGCATGACTGCATGTGATGGCATGAGTGCATGTGATGGCATGAGTGCATGTGATGGCATGAGTGCATGTGATGGCATGAGTGCATGTGATGGCATGACTGCATGTGATGGCATGAGTGCATGTGATGGCATGAGTGCATGTGATGGCATGAGTGCATGTGATGGCATGAGTGCATGTGATGGCATGAGTGCATGTGATGGCATGAGTGCATGTGATGGCATGAGTGCATGTGATGGCATGAGTGCATGTGATGGCATGAGTGCATGTGATGGCATGACTGCATGTGATGGCATGAGTGCATGTGATGGCATGAGTGCATGTGATGGCATGAGTGCATGTGATGGCATGAGTGCATGTGATGGCATGAGTGCATGTGATGGCATGAGTGCATGTGATGGCATGAGTGCATGTGATGGCATGAGTGCATGTGATGGCATGACTGCATGTGATGGCATGAGTGCATGTGATGGCATGAGTGCATGTGATGGCATGACTGCATGTGATGGCATGAGTGCATGTGATGGCATGAGTGCATGTGATGGCATGACTGCATGTGATGGCATGACTGCATGTGATGGCATGAGTGCATGTGATGGCATGAGTGCATGTGATGGCATGAGTGCATGTGATGGCATGAGTGCATGTGATGGCATGAGTGCATGTGATGGCATGAGTGCATGTGATGGCATGACTGCATGTGATGGCATGAGTGCATGTGATGGCATGAGTGCATGTGATGGCATGACTGCATGTGATGGCATGAGTGCATGTGATGGCATGAGTGCATGTGATGGCATGAGTGCATGTGATGGCATGAGTGCATGTGATGGCATGAGTGCATGTGATGGCATGAGTGCATGTGATGGCATGAGTGCATGTGATGGCATGACTGCATGTGATGCATGAGTGCATGTGATGGCATGAGTGCATGTGATGGCATGAGTGCATGTGATGGCATGAGTGCATGTGATGGCATGAGTGCATGTGATGGCATGAGTGCATGTGATGGCATGAGTGCATGTGATGGCATGAGTGCATGTGATGGCATGAGTGCATGTGATGGCATGAGTGCATGTGATGGCATGAGTGCATGTGATGGCATGAGTGCATGTGATGGCATGACTGCATGTGATGGCATGAGTGCATGTGATGGCATGAGTGCATGTGATGGCATGAGTGCATGTGATGGCATGAGTGCATGTGATGGCATGAGTGCATGTGATGGCATGACTGCATGTGATGGCATGAGTGCATGTGATGGCATGAGTGCATGTGATGGCATGAGTGCATGTGATGGCATGAGTGCATGTGATGGCATGAGTGCATGTGATGGCATGACTGCATGTGATGGCATGAGTGCATGTGATGGCATGAGTGCATGTGATGGCATGAGTGCATGTGATGGCATGAGTGCATGTGATGGCATGAGTGCATGTGATGGCATGAGTGCATGTGATGGCATGAGTGCATGTGATGGCATGAGTGCATGTGATGGCATGAGTGCATGTGATGGCATGAGTGCATGTGATGGCATGAGTGCATGTGATGGCATGAGTGCATGTGATGGCATGAGTGCATGTGATGGCATGACTGCATGTGATGGCATGAGTGCATGTGATGGCATGAGTGCATGTGATGGCATGAGTGCATGTGATGGCATGAGTGCATGTGATGGCATGACTGCATGTGATGGCATGACTGCATGTGATGGCATGAGTGCATGTGATGGCATGAGTGCATGTGATGGCATGAGTGCATGTGATGGCATGAGTGCATGTGATGGCATGAGTGCATGTGATGGCATGAGTGCATGTGATGGCATGAGTGCATGTGATGGCATGAGTGCATGTGATGGCATGACTGCATGTGATGGCATGAGTGCATGTGATGGCATGAGTGCATGTGATGGCATGACTGCATGTGATGGCATGAGTGCATGTGATGGCATGAGTGCATGTGATGGCATGAGTGCATGTGATGGCATGACTGCATGTGATGGCATGACTGCATGTGATGGCATGAGTGCATGTGATGGCATGAGTGCATGTGATGGCATGACTGCATGTGATGGCATGACTGCATGTGATGGCATGAGTGCATGTGATGGCATGAGTGCATGTGATGGCATGAGTGCATGTGATGGCATGAGTGCATGTGATGGCATGAGTGCATGTGATGGCATGAGTGCATGTGATGGCATGAGTGCATGTGATGGCATGAGTGCATGTGATGGCATGAGTGCATGTGATGGCATGAGTGCATGTGATGGCATGACTGCATGTGATGGCATGAGTGCATGTGATGGCATGAGTGCATGTGATGGCATGACTGCATGTGATGGCATGACTGCATGTGATGGCATGAGTGCATGTGATGGCATGAGTGCATGTGATGGCATGAGTGCATGTGATGGCATGACTGCATGTGATGGCATGAGTGCATGTGATGGCATGAGTGCATGTGATGGCATGAGTGCATGTGATGGCATGACTGCATGTGATGGCATGAGTGCATGTGATGGCATGTGATGGCATGAGTGCATGTGATGGCATGAGTGCATGTGATGGCATGACTGCATGTGATGGCATGAGTGCATGTGATGGCATGAGTGCATGTGATGGCATGACTGCATGTGATGGCATGAGTGCATGTGATGGCATGAGTGCATGTGATGGCATGACTGCATGTGATGGCATGACTGCATGTGATGGCATGAGTGCATGTGATGGCATGACTGCATGTGATGGCATGAGTGCATGTGATGGCATGAGTGCATGTGATGGCATGAGTGCATGTGATGGCATGAGTGCATGTGATGGCATGAGTGCATGTGATGGCATGAGTGCATGTGATGGCATGAGTGCATGTGATGGCATGAGTGCATGTGATGGCATGAGTGCATGTGATGGCATGAGTGCATGTGATGGCATGGCATGTGATGGCATGAGTACATGTGATGGCATGAGTGCATGTGATGGCATGGCATGTGATGGCATGAGTACATGTGATGGCATGGCATGTGATGGCATGGGGACATGTGATGGCCTGAGCCCACGTGATAGCATGAGGCCATGTGTCATGGCATGATTGCGTGTGAAAGCATAACATGTGATAACATGGGGACATGTGATGGCATGAGTGCATGTGATGGCATGAGCACATGTGAAGGCATGGCATGTGATGTAATAGCATGAGGACATGTGATAGAACGAGGACACGTAATAGCATGACATGTGATGGCCATGCCACAATCCCAACAAGAGGGAGTCAGATAAATTACAAGGCTTGAAGTTTGATGGCTCACAAAATTAAAGTTTGATGGGTAAAAAATTCAGGAGGTTGATGGGTTAAAAATCTAGAATGCTGATGAGTTAGAAAACTTGAAGGTTGATGGGTTACAAAACTGGAAGGTTGATGGTTTGCAAAACGAGAAGGTTGACGGGTTAAAAAAATAGGAGGTTGATGAGTTACGACATCAAAAGGTTGCTGGGTTACAAAACTTGAAGGTTGATGGTTTACAGAACGAGAAGGTTGATGGTTTTTACAAGACTTGAAGGTTGATGGTGCTGCCAATGGACTCTGGTATGCTGCCACTGATGCTGTTGTGAGCAGCGTCCCTGCAACAAGCCACACATGCAGAATGACATAACTGCAAAGCGTGTACTTGCACAATATGAATGAATACTAATTCTGATATGCATAGTTGTGCCGCATTAACCATGAACACCAAGTGAATGTTGTGGAGTACACATATTCGCCACGTAGTTGCTCTTTGCTTAAATAAGGGAGGATGGAGGGAGAAGGGGAATACAGAGGAAGTCCTACAGGGAATTCTCCAAGCTGAGGATTTTTTGGATGGATGAGGTTGGATAGTTTGGATATGAAACTATTTACAACTAACCAACATAAACTAGTTATAAAAAACGAATGCTGGAACCCAAACCTTGAAGCTCAAAACTGTGCAGCTTTTTTTCAGCAAGAGATACAATGGGGGGTACGGTAGGGAAGCAGGGCCGGGAGGGGAAAACAATGCAACCCTGTTTTACTACGACCAGGGGTAATTGAGAAAGAGCACAGAGAGGTAGAAAGCATACAGTTTTCTGAGAATGGTACGACCAGAGATCCAGGATGGAAAGGGGCCTGATAGATTCATATAGCTGAGGTTTCTGCACACAGATGTGCACGCACACACGCACGCACACACATACGCACACACACACACACACGGACGCACGCACGCACACGCGCGCGTGCGCGCGCACACACACACACACACACACACACACACGCACGCACGCACACACACACACACACACACACACTCACACACACAAGCATGCACCCGCGCACATGCACGCACACACCCTCGACACGTGCACATGCACAAGGATGCACACACGCACCAGGAAAGATGCACACACAACACAATTACGATACAGCACCTTCATAGCTAAGAAGAACTGCACGGGCAGTCAATGGTGAGTCCCCGTTGAATGGAACGTGTCCAAGTGATAAGAGGACTGACACAGATGCCTACTCACAGGAATTGTAGCTTGGTAAGGTGCTTCATCCCAAGCGGAATGGAACCCATCACTTTCATGTTAGAGCTGAGGTCTCTGTTGGTACACCATCAGCATGCCATGCCATGTGGACACACCATCACCATGCCATGCCATGTGGACAAACCATGACCACGCCATGCCATGTGAACACACCATCAGCATGATGACGCTCGCTCTCTAATCAACCGGCTAGTAAAGAGATGACTTGGGAGGAGGAGGGGATGAAGACTGGAGAAGGATGCACTTGGGAGACCACTAAAGGTTCAACATTCAAAGTGAGATTGGTGGGCACTTGGCTGGAAGAGTGTGCTCACAACATGGCAAGGTTGGTGAGGCGGCAGATGGATGAAGGGATTTCGCCAGTGAGTCTGTTGTTGACAACAGACCTATCAGGGCACCACAGGGGCATATCGGGAGGAAGGCACACAAGCAAGGGGCATATGGGAGCAAGGCACACAAGCAAGGGGCATATGGGAGCAAGGCACACAAGCAAGGGGCATATGGGAGCAACACAAGCAAGGGACATATGGGAGCAAGGCACACAAGCAAGGGGCATATCGGAGCAAGGCACACAAGAAAGGGGCATATGCTGAGGGGAGCAAGGCATGCAAGCAAGGGGCATATGGGAGCAAGGCATGCAAGCAAGGGGCATATGGGAGCAAGGCATGCAAGCAAGGGGCATATGCTGAGGGAAGCAAGGCACCCTCTTTCGAAGCCCCATGCGCACCTTGTACCATCTTCCACCCTCAACACAAAGCAGCTCATTTGAATCGAGCGAAGTGGGCCCAGCTCCACGGTTGGAGAGGTTTGGCTCGGCGGAAAAACTCGGCGCAGCTTGGCTTGGCTTGGCTCGGCAGAGCGGTGGCTTGACCGGGTGCAAGCTGATGCTGGGAGCTGAAATGTGGCATCTGACTGACAGAACATGTTTCAGAGACTGTGTGCCGGCGCACCGGCCGTAAGTAGCAAGGGCCGAGGAGCGACGGCTTGACTCTGTCCCGAGATGAATTGCAGGTAGGGTGCTCACAGGTAAGAGAGGAGAGAGAGGTCACCAATTGCTGTCGGAATGGAGCCGGACAACCAATTCCATTGAAGGTCCCTGACATGTGAGCCAGATACAGCATACATACACACACACACACACACACACACACACACACACACACACACACACACACACACACAGCACTTGTGGGTCACAGAAGAGAATGAAACATGTGTTGGAGAAAGATCACTTTGGGTGGAAGTAATTGAGCTGCCCGACTAGATTTGAGTGACTAGCTCTTAGCCATGGCTCAGCCGTTTGAACCGGGAAACAGGGTTAGGCACGATATGTAAAGGAGTTGTATTTCAAGCGCTCTGGAGCAACGAGACAGGACTTGCGAAGAGGGATGAGCCGTTGCTCGACCCTCGAGCACGCCTTGCCATTACAAGCTGAGAGCCAGTGCCGGAGCTTACACGTGAACTTCGTTATTCAAGGGGTCTCAAATAGGCATGAGCAAAAGTTCGAGCCGCGGCCCGGCTCGGCTGGCTCGGCTCGTCGATTTGACGAGCCGAGCCAATGATTTCAAGGATTTCGGCTCGGCACGCTCGAGTCGAGCCGGCTCGGCGAGCCAATGTCCGGCTCGTCGGCTCGCCATTGCATAACGACGAGCCGGACAAGGCTCGCCGAGCCTGTGGCTCGTCGACGAGCCGCGACCCCGGCTCGTCAGATCTACTTATTGACAAACTATGGGTTTTGCAATTTTGGGGTTTACAAAAGAGAATTGCGAACCCCTTTATTTTGTATTCGCCTTCCACAACACCAAATCTACTTTTGCGTCCATGGTCAAGGACCTCCATCAGATTGCTGCATCCCCCAATGCCATGGAGACTCGATATTAGTTCCTCTTTAGCAGTTCGGGGTTAAGATGTAGTCGCGACTTAAACCCCCTTCAATGCATTAAGATCGCGATGGTAGTCTATAATGTGGACGAGCCACGAGCCGGCTCGTCCACATTATACTAAGGGTACTTTAGATTAGATAGAAGTATTCACGCTTCAGCTGTTCCAAAATGTGGACGAGCCACGAGCCGGCTCGGCTCGTCGGCGAGACACCTTAGGCTCGTCGGTGGCTCGCCCAGCTCGCCCTCATTTGACGAGCCACGAGCCGGCGGCTCGGCTCGACGCTAGGGGTGGCTCGTCGCGGCTCGAACCGAGCCGGCTCGGCTCGACAGTGTGCTCATCCCTTTTCTCAAAGACATGAGAAAAGGGATAAGCCGTTGCTCGATCGACCCTTCGAGCACGTCTTTTGAACCGCCTCAAAATGACTTTTGACTTTTGATGAGATGCCTTGAAGTAAATTTGGCTTTTGAGTTTGAGGCGCCTCAACGTTTCTTTTGACTTTTGAGAGTTTAGGGTTGTCATAACAAGCCGAGAGCCAGTATCGGGATTTGCATGTGACCTCGGGCACGCAAGCTCCATCACATTCCAGATGTGTCAGGCAGTGCAAGCAACTGCCATTCACTTTCGCCAAAGCAGCAGCATGTTCTTTGCGCTTCACTGACTATCCCGTCTCACCTTAGCCCACCCTGCATAGCTACTGACCAAGTTTCACCTTGTCGAAAAATGTACCAATTTCTTGAGAAATCAACACAGTGGGCGTATTCAGCTTATATGGACATACTCAGCTATCATAAACGTATTCAACCTTATGGACATATTCAGCTTTTATGGGCATATTCAGCTTCTATGCACACATTCAGCTTTTATGGACATACTCAGCGTTTTTTGAATTACTCAGCTTTTAAGCACATACTCAGCTTTTATGCACATGCTCAGCTTTTATGCATACTCAGCTTTTACGCACATACTCAGCCTGGTCGAGGTGGAGTGGGTAGGAATACTCACAACAAGGCAAGGTTGGTGAGGTGGAGTATGGTCGAGGGGATTGAGCCGCCGAACGTGTTTTTTCCAAGCTTCCTATTCAGACGCAACATGGGGCACACGAGCAGCAGTAGAGTCAAACAGATCATTTGCAGCAGCATGGTCTCTCACTTATCATGGCTCATCTGCCATACACGCACAAATACCTTTCTTTAGTCGACTCAAAATATAAACAGACCAATGCAGCATGGGCTCTCAATTGTCACGAACGCACAGACACCTTTCATGTTCCTGCTAGTACACGCTCCCATCTCGGGTGTTCCAACATTGTGTATCGGCAGTGAAGACTGCCACTGCTAGGTATGCTCATTAGGGCTGCTTGTCATGCTTATTATGCATCTTATGCTCATTATGCATATTATGCTCATTATGCACATTATGCTCATCGTTATGGTGATTATGCTCATTACGCTCATTGTGCTCATTAGTTATGCTCATAATTGTCATTGTGCACATTATGCTCATAAGGTTCATTATGCTCATTATGTTCATTATACATGTTATGCCGCTCGTTACACTCATTGTGACGGCAATGAGGGTCAGTGAAGGTCCGTGAAGGACAGTGAGGTTCAGTGAGGATTGATTCAGGATATGTGAGAATCATGATGCAGGAGGGGTTGGGTGAAGCCTGGGGAAGGTCAACACTAAGCCAGAGCTCTAAAAAGGTAGCACACGCACACACAGAAGAAAGAAGATTGGCAGTGGTGGCGAGTGGACCTTACAACAAGGTGAGACTGGAGAGACGGGAGATGTATGAAGGGATTTCGCCATGAAATCTGTTACTGTCGAGAGACCTATCCAGGCACAACAAGAGGGATATGGGGAGCACGGCACACCAAGGTAGGCATGAGCAAATTTTCGAACCCCAAACACGTTCGAGTCGAACATGTTCGTTTCGAACATGTTTGAGGGGTTTTTTTTGGGAATAATGTTCGCCCAAACATGTTCGAGGTTCGACCCGAACATGTTCGTTGTTCGGAAGTCATAGGGGGAAATTTCCGAACACCAAACATGTTCGGAAAGTTTCCCCGCTTTTCCGAACATGAGATGCTCGGGAAAAACCAGCGCGACAAATGTCGCGCTGGTTGGATGTATTTCCTACGGAAAGCTCAGATCGAGGTCCATTCGACCTCGATCTACCTTTTTAGGTTAAGTACAGAGGAGTAACGATTAGTAGGCGCATTTGATGCCGACTTCAGCCCAACTTAATGGTTCCTGATGGCAACTTAGGTTAAATAGTCGTCAATTTGTCGTTTTTTGAACTTAGGGTTTCACAATCATAAAAAAACAGATACCTTTGGGTGTTGAAGTCCTACACTATCGTTCGTACACGTGCGATTTGAAGGCTTCACGGCGAAGGATCGGGTGGGAGGAGCAAGGGCGGATGGGGGAGGCGATGAGGATGGAGAACCTAAAGACGTGCTCAAAATGAGCAAGTCCACATTTTCGAACATCAAACATGTTCGAAATTGACCGAACATGTAGTTGTTCGGCAAACCTAAAGACGTTTGCCCACCTAAACCAAACACCGAACACTGAAAACCAGAAAATAATGTTCGGCCGAACCAAACATGTTCGGTTCGGTTAAGAAAAACGTTCGGGGATGTTCGGGCAAACACGTTTGGTGTTCGCCCGTTGCTCATGCCTACACCAAGGGGCATTATGGGGAGCAAGGCAGAACGAGGGGCATATGGGAGCACGTGGCGTGGACAGCAACAAAACTGTTGCCTCCTGCTTCATGCTATTTCCGGTGCCTAGCCCAGATCCGGCGGAAGAAAACAAAACTGCTCGAACTGCTGGATGATTCTTGCAGGTCGGGGGCGTAGCAGGGCAGAGGCACATGCGGGGGGGCGTTGCAGGGCACAGGCGGGGGGGGTGGCAGGGCAGAGGCACAGGCGGGGGGGGGGGGGGTGGGTGGCAGGGCAGAGGCACAGGCAGGGGGGTGGCAGGGCAGAGGCACAGGCGGGGGGGGTGGCAGGGCAGAGGCGCAGGCGGGGGGTGTGGCAGGGCAGAGGCGCAGGCGGGGGGTGTGGCAGGGGGGCGTAGCAGGGCAGAGGCCAGCTGGTGCAGTGCCGGTTGACTGTTGAACGATTGGTGTGCCGTGCATGTCATGCAGGAGGCATTGGTGATAGTAGTTCGTTTGGATGTGATTCAGTAGCATGCTAGGGTGCACCCAGGACCGAATAGTTGTAACCTTCACTATTGAACGTGCATCACCTTTGAATCATGAAAGTGAGGTCCCACGGGTCCTCACTCATAAGGAAGAGAGCAGCAAGGTGGAGATCCGTTTAGCAGCTTTTCAGTCGACTCTAAAGAAGAGCAGCAAGGTGTATCCGATTTGCGCTGTGTGCAGCAACTAAAACCTTGATATCTAAAGACTGGTGCGAGCGTGATAGTGTGTGTTCACACTTGACAACCTGTGGCATGCGGCTTATCGCATGTGGCATGCGGCTTATCGCATGTGGCGTGTGTGGCATGGCAGGGTCAATCAATGGACGAGGTGAGTTATGGAAGCTTACAGGCGTGAGAGGGCTGAAAGGTCAGCAATGGCTTCTGGGATGGGGCCTGACAAAATGTTGAAACTGAGAGTTCTGCCATGCCAGTCAGATGGGGGGAGTGGAGAGGAACAGGGCAAAACATCATGTCATGTCATGTCATGTCATGTCATGTCATGTCATGTCATGTCATGTCATGTCATGTCATGCAGTTACACACACCTCAGTGCAGAACGAATCCATAATTTGAGAGGCACATTTAGGAGGGCCGAGGAGGATAAAGAGCATGTGAGAGTGACTCAGCCTGCTCCTTGGTTTGTTAAAACACTAGGTATCGCCCAGCTGATGAATTCGATGAACCTCAGAACTCATTTCTGTAAGACTTGGGTGGCGCCTTAAAACTCATCACTGGTTATCGCCCAGCTGGCTGAATAGTAACCGGCCTTGTTCTCATTACCTCTGTTTGCTACCATGCTGGAAAGCGTGGGGGGGAGTGCAAAGCCAGCTTGGCTTGCAGTGTATGAAATGATGGTTTTGAGGTGCCTCGGGAATTGTCTGTAGCACGGTCTACTTGTTACTCACAGCTCTGTTAAGCGGGTGAGGCGAGACATGGTGGCTGGAAGGGAGCCGGTGAGCTTGGTGCTTGAGAGACGCCTGGATGAAGGGAAGTTGTATGTTGGGCGGGGAAAGAGGGAGGCAAACGATTTCTGAGACGCAGGCCCAAGAATCAGGTGGCACGCATGGCATGGGAGTGGGTTGGCATTGCCATTGAGGGTGTCTGGCAGGGGTGTGAGGCACGGAAGGAATCAGAAAGAGTTGAATATGGCATGGTGGAGACAGGTCAGCCATGGGTGGATGGACCTCATAGTTGCATGATTTGACGCATCACCCCATACAGGAGCATGGCCTCACATGGCATGGCATTACATGGCATGGCATTACTTGGCATGGCCTCGAACGGAATGCATGGCATGACCTCACATGGCGTGGTCTCACATGGCATGGATGGACTCTCATGGCATGGGCTTGGATGGCATGACCTTGCATGGCATGACCTCGCATGGCATGGCCTCGCATGGCATGTTCTGGCGTGGCATGGTGCAGCATACAGTAGAGTGAGTGCGGTGAGGTTCCCAATGGCATCTGGAATGGGTCCTTCCAACTGCTTGCCACTCACGTTCCTACAGGGGGCATGGGAGGCATGGGCATGGGAGGCATAGGGGGCATGGGGGCCATGGGGGGCATGGGGGGCATGGGAAAATGGGGGCATTGGGAACATGGGGTGCATGGGAGCGTGGGGGCATGGGTGGCATGGGAGCGTGGGGGCATGGGAGGCATGGAGGGCATGTGGGGGCATTGGGGGCATCATGAGAGCACGAGGGCATGAGGGCATGGAGCTGGGGGCATGAGGGGGCATGGGGGGGGCTTGGGGTTGCAGGGGGGCGGAGGAGAGAGGGGGGAGAGGGGGGCGTGGGAGGGGAAAGGGGGGTGGCAGAATTGCTTCAAGGACAAGGGAAAAAAAGGGAACTTCATCACAAAAATGTGTGTGTCTGAAAATCATCTGACGTTCCCACCGGCCGATCGTAGGTTTGACAAACGTTTGAAAAACGTACAGAAAACCTACAAAAAACGTTTGTCCCTCTTGAGACGTTTTCGAGACACTAATCGTATGTTTCCGCTCAATGTTTCTTGCCTGTTGCTGCAGCATTAGGGTTTCGCGACCAAGAGGGGTTGGAGCTGGTCTCGTCGCTTGGAAGAAGTGTGCTGTAAATTTGTTCTCGATATAAATGTCTCGTTTTTACTTCTGTGCATTGTTTGTTCCCATCAAGACATTTGAAGATAATTCTCTGAATTTGAAGATTCCACTAGGGAACATGTGTTTCCAAGAGTCATATTTAACCAGTGGTTATTAATTTTGCGCCTATTAGATCAAAGAAATGCCTAAACATATCAATATTCATCGTCCTCGCACGAGGGTACAACGTGCACGAGACTAAGAATGCAGTCTACATCGATCACGGCATAATTATCAACGCCTTCTGTGGGTAGAAGACGCTTGCATCCCGTCGACGGGCATTGACGCTTGTCTTCGGTGTAGTACTCCACATATGCGCCTCGCCTCAGCTCACCACCCTTGTTGTAATGAAACAGCACAAGGCAACGGCCATACCACGGGGAACCCTTCCCTGCAGGGTTGATCGCGATCGCCGAGAAGTTCTTCTCGGCTGGGCTAGCCTTGACAAACTGCCCCCGTGACGTCCATTCCATCTTGTCGTGTGGCGGAATCGCAAGTGCTGTGTGCACCTGACACCACGAGCATTGTACAAAGCAAATGGGAAAGCAGGGAAAGAGGGGGTGGAGAGCATAAGGAAAAGGGGGAATTGGCCAAGGATTGGGTGGAAAGCAAGCTGGAGAGGGGGAACGAGGGTTGGGAGGGGGTGGGAAGGAAACTGGAGAGGGGGAACGAGGGTTGGAGGGGGTGGGAAGCAAGCAGGAGAGGGGGAACGAGGGTTGGAGGGGGTGGGAAGCAAGCAGGAGAGGGGGAACGAGGGTTGGAGGGGGTGGGAAGCAAGCAGGAGAGGGGGAACGAGGGTTGGAGGGGGTGGGAAGCAAGCAGGAGAGGGGGAACGAGGGTTGGAGGGGGTGGGAAGCAAGCAGGAGAGGGGGAACGAGGGTTGGAGGGGGTGGCAAGCAAGCAGGAGAGGGGGAACGAGGGTTGGAGGGGGTGGAAAGCAAGCAGGAGAGGGGGGACGAGGGTTGGAGGGGGTGGCAAGCAAGCAGGAGAGGGGGAACGAGGGTTGGAGGGGGTGCGAAGCAAGCAGGAGAGGGGGAACGAGGGTTGGAGGGGGTGGCAAGCAAGCAGGAGAGGGGGAACGAGGGTTGGAGGCGGTGGAAAGCAAGCAGGAGAGGGGGAACGAGGGTTGGAGGGGGTGGGAAGCAAGCAAGAGAGGGGGAACGAGGGTTGGAGGGGGTGGGAAGCAAGCAGGAGAAGGGGGACGAGGGTTGGAGGGGGTGGGAAGCAAGCAGGAGAGGGGGGACGAGGGTTGGAGGGGGTGGGAAGCAAGCAGGAGAGGGGGAACGAGGGTTGGAGGGGGTGGAAAGCAAGCAGGAGAGGGGGGACGAGGGTTGGAGGGGGTGGCAAGCAAGCAGGAGAGGGGGGACGAGGGTTGGAGGGGGTGGCAAGCAAGCAGGAGAGGGGGAACGAGGGTTGGAGGGGGTGGGAAGCAAGCAGGAGAGGGGGAACGAGGGTTGGAGGGGGTGGCAAGCAAGCAGGAGAGATGGAACGAGGGTTGGAGGGGGTGGAAAGCAAGCAGGAGAGGGGGGACGAGGGTTGGAGGGGGTGGGAAGCAAGCAGGAGAGGGGGAACGAGGGTTGGAGGGGGTGGCAAGCAAGCAGGAGAGGGGGGACGAGGGTTGGAGGGGGTGGGAAGCAAGCAGGAGAGGGGGGACGAGGGTTGGAGGGGGTGGGAAGCAAGCAGGAGAGGGTTTACGAGGGTTGGAGGGGGTGGCAAGCAAGCAGGAGAGGGGGGAGGAGGGTTGGAGGGGGTGGGAAGCAAGCAGGAGAGGGGGGACGAGTGTTGGAGGGGGTGGGAAGCAAGCAGGAGAGGGGGGACGAGGGTTGGAGGGGGTGGGAAGCAAGCAGGAGAGGGGGAACGATGGTTGGAGGGGGTGCAAGCAAGCAGGAGAGGGGGAACGAGGGTTGGAGGGGGTGGGAAGCAAGCAGGAGAGGGCGAACGAGGGTTGGAGGGGGTGCAAGCAAGCAGGAGAGGGGGAACGAGGGTTGGAGGGGGTGGGAAGCAAGCAGGAGAGGGGGAACGAGGGTTGGAGGGGGTGGGAAGCAAGCAGGAGAGGGGGAACGAGGGTTGGAGGGGGTGGGAAGAAAGCAGGAGAGGGGGAACGAGGGTTGGAGGGGGTGGGAAGCAAGCAGGAGAGGGGGAACGAGGGTTGGAGGGGGTGGGAAGCAAGCAGGAGAGGGGGAACGAGGGTTGGAGGGGGTGGGAAGGAAGCAGGAGAGGGGGAACGAGGGTTGGAGGGGGTGGGAAGCACCTGCAAGACTTCCGTGTTGATGCCCGCCTTTTTTAGGCGCAGAACCATCGCACTCATGGCGGGTTCACCCAGCGTCAGGACGTAGCTCCGAAACACCGAGTTGGTGATGTCCCCAATGACCATCCTCTTGTGGGTCTTTGTAAGCACCCTCCGGCCGGCCCGGCATGCCTGTCACCATGGTGAGAAGAGGGTTTGGATGGGGATGGGGTGGGGTGAATGGTGTGGGTTGAGGAGGGTGAAGGAGGGGGGGAAAGGGGATGGATGCAGGGGAGAAGGAGACGGCCAGGGAAGGGGGGAAATGGGGGTGGGGGAAATGGGGGTGGGGGAAATGGGGGTGGGGGAAAGGGGCCGAGTTTGTGGGGACAAAGAAGGGGATGGGGGGGTAGGATTTGATCACTGAAGTTTCGGCTGGGCCTATATCTGAATGCCAACTTAAGCAGAGAACAGGGAAATGACTGGCCAGGCGGGTGATGCCCTGAACAGCAGGGAGGGGGAGGAGTGGGCTGCGCATGGCCAGGCGGGTGATGCCCTGAACAGCAGGGAGGGGGAGGAGTGGGCTGCGCATGGCCAGGCGGGTGATGCCCTGAACAGCAGGGAGGGGGAGGAGTGGGCTGCGCATGGCCAGGCGGGTGATGCCCTGAACAGCAGGGAGGGGGAGGAGTGGGCTGCGCATGGCCAGGCGGGTGATGCCCTGAACAGCAGGGAGGGGGAGGAGTGGGCTGCGCATGGCCAGGCGGGTGATGCCCTGAACAGCAGGGAGGGGGAGGAGTGGGCTGCGCATGGCCAGGCGGGTGATGCCCTGAACAGCAGGGAGGGGGAGGAGTGGGCTGCGCATGGCCAGGCGGGTGATGCCCTGAACAGCAGGGAGGGGGAGGAGTGGGCTGCGCATGGCCAGGCGGGTGATGCCCTGAACAGCAGGGAGGGGGAGGAGTGGGCTGCGCATGGCCAGGCGGGTGATGCCCTGAACAGCAGGGAGGGGGAGGAGTGGGCTGCGCATGGCCAGGCGGGTGATGCCCTGAACAGCAGGGAGGGGGAGGAGTGGGCTGCGCATGGCCAGGCGGGTGATGCCCTGAACAGCAGGGAGGGGGAGGAGTGGGCTGCGCATGGCCAGGCGGGTGATGCCCTGAACAGCAGGGAGGGGGAGGAGTGGGCTGCGCATGGCCAGGCGGGTGATGCCCTGAACAGCAGGGAGGGGGAGGAGTGGGCTGCGCATGGCCAGGCGGGTGATGCCCTGAACAGCAGGGAGGGGGAGGAGTGGGCTGCGCATGGCCAGGCGGGTGATGCCCTGAACAGCAGGGAGGGGGAGGAGTGGGCTGCGCATGGCCAGGCGGGTGATGCCCTGAACAGCAGGGAGGGGGAGGAGTGGGCTGCGCATGGCCAGGCGGGTGATGCCCTGAACAGCAGGGAGGGGGAGGAGTGGGCTGCGCATGGCCAGGCGGGTGATGCCCTGAACAGCAGGGAGGGGGAGGAGTGGGCTGCGCATGGCCAGGCGGGTGATGCCCTGAACAGCAGGGAGGGGGAGGAGTGGGCTGCGCATGGCCAGGCGGGTGATGCCCTGAACAGCAGGGAGGGGGAGGAGTGGGCTGCGCATGGCCAGGCGGGTGATGCCCTGAACAGCAGGGAGGGGGAGGAGTGGGCTGCGCATGGCCGTGCATGGGGTGCGCGGTTGTGTAGATGATAGAGGGGAGGTGGAGTAGGCTGTGCATGATTGTGCATAATACAAGTACCATCCACTCCGAGTGTGCTTTGCAGGTGCATCAGCAAGACAACGAGAACGACTGCGGTGTTTTTGTAATGCGTGTGATTCATACGCTTGTCGAGAGCAGGTTCGGCAGGATGAATGCGTGTAACTTGGCTGGGACGCCAAGACAGTGGAGGCGCCAATATCGTCATGATTTGGCAAAGTGGTCCTGTGTCTATGAAGGTGCTTGTGCCACTATACAGGCTGATTGATGCTCCTTAGCCTGGTCGCTGTTGGTTAGTGACATGAATGTGCTACTGATGATCGTTGTATTGATTGATGTTTGTTGTAGAATTGCATAGCCAGGCGGTACTTGAGTTGCTCCATTTTGTAAGCTCTTACCAACTCAACCTTGGTGTCAATGCCCATGGAATGGCAGGTTGGGGTCATACTAAACACGATGAGTAGGCTGATGATGAGCTGAATGAGGGGTTGGAACAGCTACTTAGCATGGTGCAGTTGAATATCACATACAACTCAACGTGATAGTGTGGGTGCTCTGGATCGGCCCAATACCGTAGGCTTTTACAGATCACGGTTCCCGACCTGCAATGTTGATGGAAAACGCGGTGCCGATTTGCTGTTGTCACATTCGATTTTTTGTTTCCCTTTGTTTTGCGGCAGGGATGTTCGATTCCCGTTCCCTTGCTCGAAATTACTTAGTATCCTGAGCTTATGCCAGACATAGCACGGCTGGCCAACAGACTTTATCTCGTAAGTAGGTGCTAGAACCTAGGTTCGTAAACACTGATATACTGCCTGCGCGTTCCTTGCAACTTCAAGGGCAGCTGAACTGTTGCTCTGTGTTTCCCATATCCCAGCACCAAACCCCATCGCGAGGTGCCTCATTGGGCATTTCGTTACAGGAGCATGCATCTTTGATGCCTAGTCTCGAAGCGTTAGTTGAGACCACGTTACCCTCCGCGTTCGAAGCACAGAGGGCGTCTTGCTGGTACCATTCGCTGGTCTCCTCACGATACCTTCCAACGGTAGGTAGGCACGTCCAGCTCCTTCTACCTGTTAGTCAATGTCACGGTACCTCCACCACCTGGCGCAAATGTGCATTTCTGCCAGTTTTAGGCACGTTTAGCCATTTCGAAACGCCTGTTCTCGTAGTAGGCACGTCCTGATATGGCGCGCATGGGATGGTCTCGAACGGCGCGGCCTGCGATGGCGCGCTGCTGTTTTAGTTGCACGACTTCCGTTGGAGCGATTCGCGGGCATGTACTGCTATTGCGCGCTGCATTGCTCGCATGCACGTCCAGCGTGCGCGATTCTTTTCCTAGCTGCTCGAATACCTATTGGAGGAGCTTATAATCCTTAGGTATGCACTCCTCAGCTATATAACATAAATCGGGCAGGTTTAGCTGCATTGCTAGAAACATGGCGGACAACGGCGGTCTCAATCACCAGGCCAATGCTTGTGACCTCATCGATGCAGCTGGAGCTTTACAAACCTTGGGCGACGCCAAAACCGATGCGGAACAGAGGCTGCATGACAAGATGACACCTCTTAATACCTCTCAGCTAGTTGTGAGGTATCGTCGGAAGAACAAGTCTACTGCGCGCGATGCCGAGGTGTCGGGAGGGGAACATTCATCGGATAGTGAGCATTCTGGGGACGTGCCATACGCCGGCAAACTTAGTCGCGGCGGTTCAAGCGGGCGGAGGCACGCTCCTAAGCTGAAGCAGTTGGACCAATTCAAAGCTGATACAGGGAGGAAAGGTACGCATCCAGGTTTTATATCTTTTTTTCTTCTCTGCATGTTTGTAAGTTGCTCGGTAAAAGCCTGCTTGTGTTCGCACCCAATACATAGAGGTGCTGCCCTCATATCGTGTGAGCATTTCGTCCTTACTTGATGCGTGTTGTAGGTACCGTCGGTTCCAAGAAAAAGAAAAAAGGAAAACAAGACGCGGATGGGGCAACTGGACAGATAGAAGACGTAGACTACGAGGAGCCACTGCCAGTGAAAGGGCATAAGCGTGAGGATGAGCGTGGGGGAGAGCGTGAGGGCAGGCGTGAGGGCAGGTGTGAGGGCAAGCGTGAGGGGAGGCGTGAGGGGAGGCGTGAGGAAGAGCGTGAGGAAGAGCGTGAGGAAGAGCGTGATGGAGAGCGTGAGCGAGAGCGTGAGGGAGAGCGTGAGGGAGAGCGTGAGGGAGAGCGTGAGGGCGAGCGTGAGGGCGAGCGTGAGGGAGAGCGTGATGTGAATCGTGATGCATCTTCTCCCTCTACTCCAGCAGGTGCTCGACCGGATGGTGCAGAGAATGTTCGTGGGCATGGGGGGAGTGGGAGAGAGAGCCGTGGCGGGGAGATGGAGGATCAGAGGGGGGTGTCAGGGAGAGTGAAGTCACGGCGACGCAGGGCTGGAAAGAAAGCCCCTGTCAAGGAGGAATCTTCCGAAGGCGAGGACAGCTCGGATGAGGAATCAGGGAGCTCCTCCGGGAGTGAGGAGAGGTACGACGAGGATGAAGAAAGTGAGGACAATGAATCGGTGTCCGAGAGTGATGACGAAGATATGAGAGGGCGGAGGGCACGGGCAGGTAGAGGCCGCTCGGGCGGAAAGCGTGGGCATGCGCACGGAAATAAAGCGAGCAAAGGGCGTAAGAGGCAGAAACATCGCTCGCGTGCTCAAGGGAAGCACGCTACTCATGGGGTGCCTACGCGGGTGGGTAAGGAGCGTCCTCCCGTAGGAAGGAACCTCGGATTCTACCATGAGATGCGGACCTTGGGGAGCTCTGAAGATGCAGGTCAGGAGAACCGTAGGGAGAACATTCGTAGGGGGAAATTGGCAGCATCGAACGATCCATATACTGCCCTCGCCTCTGGGTCTGGACTGGGAAGGAGTGCATCACGGTTTCCTGATCGTAGCGTGGAAGCGGAGGTTGATCTTCAGCACAACATTACTCGTGAGGCAAGTGGTGGTGATGATCCGGCAAGTGCAGGGGGGCAATGGGTGAAAGATCGTGATGCTGGTGGGTTTGGTGCTTGGGGGATGGACGAAGAGAAGGCTGGAACTTCAGACCCTGCGACTGCAGGCCCGTCAGATCCGGCGAGATACAGTTCCAAGCCCGACAGCGCGACCGGTGTGCCCCTAAGTCCCTTAGACAGTTCACCTGATGCTTCCATGCAACACCTTTTTAAAGCTTTGCAGGATGCCAATCGGCAGATTGCAGAGCTAAAGGCGGGTCGCGGTCTTTCAGGAAACGGGGGCGGCAACGGCACGCAAATACCTCCTCTTACCTCGATCTCCAGTGAGCTGCCATCGCAGCCCGATGCGCCTCCCGTTGTGGCGGAGAGCGCTGTACAAGACGTTCCCATTGCACGGAGGCACGGCATGCCGAATGCCACCAATCTGAGGGTTAGTTACTAGTTTCCCTTGACTGCATGCCTTGCACCGTCTCCGGTTTCCCGTCACTGCATCCCACCCTTGCATCGCACACATTTTCTGGTTTCCCGTCACTGCATCCCTCCCTTGCACCGCACACATTTTCTGGTTTCCCGTCACTGCATGCCTCCCTTGCACCGCACACATTTTCTGGTTTGCGGTCCCTGCATCCCTCCCTTGCACCGCACCCATTTTCTGGTTTCCCGTCGCTGCATCCCTCCCTTGCACCGCACCCATTTTCTGGTTTCCCGTCGCTGCATCCCTCCCTTGCACCGCACACATTTTCTGGTTTCACGTCGCTGCATCCCTCCCTTGCACCGCACCCATTTTCTGGTTTCCCGTCCCTGCATCCCTCCCTTGCACCGCACACATTTTCTGGTTTCACGTCCCTGCATCCCTCCCTTGCACCGCACACATTTTCTGGTTTCCCGTCGCTGCATCCCTCCCTTGCACCGCACACATTTTCTGGTTTCCCGTCGCTGCATCCCTCCCTTGCACCGCACACATTTTCTGGTTTCCCGTCGCTGCATCCCTCCCTTGCACCGCACACATTTTCTGGTTTCCCGTCGCTGCATCCCTCCCTTGCACCGCACACATTTTCTGGTTTCCCGTCGCTGCATCCCTCCCTTGCACCGCACACATTTTCTGGTTTCCCGTCGCTGCATCCCTCCCTTGCACCGCACACATTTTCTGGTTTCCCGTCGCTGCATCCCTCCCTTGCACCGCACACATTTTCTGGTTTCCCGTCGCTGCATCCCTCCCTTGCACCGCACACATTTTCTGGTTTCCCGTCGCTGCATCCCTCCCTTGCACCGCACACATTTTCTGGTTTCCCGTCGCTGCATCCCTCCCTTGCACCGCACACATTTTCTGGTTTCCCGTCGCTGCATCCCTCCCTTGCACCGCACACATTTTCTGGTTTCCCGTCGCTGCATCCCTCCCTTGCACCGCACACATTTTCTGGTTTCCCGTCGCTGCATCCCTCCCTTGCACCGCACACATTTTCTGGTTTCCCGTCGCTGCATCCCTCCCTTGCACCGCACACATTTTCTGGTTTCCCGTCGCTGCATCCCTCCCTTGCACCGCACACATTTTCTGGTTTCCCGTCGCTGCATCCCTCCCTTGCACCGCACACATTTTCTGGTTTCCCGTCGCTGCATCCCTCCCTTGCACCGCACACATTTTCTGGTTTCCCGTCGCTGCATCCCTCCCTTGCACCGCACACATTTTCTGGTTTCCCGTCGCTGCATCCCTCCCTTGCACCGCACACATTTTCTGGTTTCCCGTCGCTGCATCCCTCCCTTGCACCGCACACATTTTCTGGTTTCCCGTCGCTGCATCCCTCCCTTGCACCGCACACATTTTCTGGTTTCCCGTCGCTGCATCCCTCCCTTGCACCGCACACATTTTCTGGTTTCCCGTCGCTGCATCCCTCCCTTGCACCGCACACATTTTCTGGTTTCCCGTCGCTGCATCCCTCCTTTGCACCGCACACAGTTTCTGGTTTCCCGTCACTGCATCCTTGCACCACATACATTCTCTGGTTTCCCATCACTGCAATGCTTTTCACCCCGCACATTCTCTGTTTTCCCTTGACTGCATGCCTTGCACTCAATTCTCTGGTTTCCCATCACTCTTGACCAGTTCTACATGCAAGATTCCCGGAACCGGATGTGCATGGAAGCTGAAGATCGTGTCATTACATTCTACCCATCCTTTGAGAAGCGTATGCGGGTTCTGCACGAGGTCATCTCCGAAAATTACATCGTGTCCTTCATTTTGCTGAAAGAGGCCATGGGGGATAAAACACGGCGTGATTCGTTCAAGCGCGTATGGACTCAATGGAAGAATGAGCGCGGTTTTTACATAAAAAGAACCGTACTTGAGGGCTTAGGGGTTGCTATGTGCGGGCTGCGCGCGGTGGAAATTCACGTCGATGTGAAAGTGAAGGAGGATCTCTGGAAAACTCATTGCCCGAGTGAGTGAACCGCAACTCTTCCCCCCCCTCCCCCCCTCTCCTCCACAATCACCCCATCCAATCTTTCACCACCCCATCTCACTCTCTTCTCAACTTGGCGTTGGCTCACATAGTCCATCTTAATACTCGAGTTCCACCCGTCCAACCACTCTCTTTACCATCCTTGTTCGAGCGTGTCGCAGGCGTGGACGACCCCCTGAGCACATGGGGGAATGCTGAGGATGGTGGCCTCCCGTTTGGCAATGACATCTTCTTCAACGCAGCTATGGATGCTTTCGGAGAATTCAGCGTGGGAGACGACTTGTGCTTGAAGGCGTATCACATCGCCTGGACTATCATGGTGGTGAGTGGTTTGTTATTGTGACCCCCTGTTTTCCCCTCCCCTCAATGAGCTGCGCCCACTCCCCTGTTTTCCCCTTCCCTCAATGAGCTGCGCCCACTCCCCTGTTTTCCCCTTCCCTCAATGAGCTACGCCCACTCCCCTGTTTTCCCCTCCCCTCAATGAGCTGCGCCCACTCCCCTGTGATTTACTGTTAATTCTCTGCGCCCATGGTTCCTAATCCCAACAATGCAGATTGACTACGGTCTGTCGAAGATTAAGAAGTCAACGATGAACCTCACCAACTCCCACCGAAAGAACACGAAGTGGGTGACAAGCATCCGCGACGTGGTTCGACGGGTGGTGAGGGATCATTTTAGCCAGGTCAATCCTGTCTACAACGCACGGATGAAGGGGTTCAGGTGGGGAACTTTCGGCTTGTTCGTCCATGAGTCAGGGTTCGAGGAGTATAGGCCCAGACCACAGCCCCGCAATCCGGCAGAGAGGGTGGCGGCAGGACCGATCTAGAGAGAAAAGGGGGAGGAGCAGCAGGGAGGAAGCAGCAGGGAGCGAGCAGCAGGGAGGGAGCAGCAGGGAGGAAGCAGAAGGGAGGTTGCAGCAGGGAGGGAGCAGCAGGGAGGAAGCAGCAGGGAGGAAGCAACAGGGAGGGAGCAGCATGGAGGAAGCAGCAGGGAGGAAGCAGCAGGGAGGAAGCAGCAGGGAGGAAGCAGCAAGGAGGGAGCAGCAGGGAGGAAGCAGCAGGAGGTTGCATCAGGGAGGGAGCAGCAGGGAGGAAGCAGCAGGGAGGAAGCAACAGGGAGGGAGCAGCATGGAGGAAGCAGCAGGGAGGAAGCAGCAGGGAGGAAGCAGCAGGGAGGGAGCAGCAAGGAGGGAGCAGCAGGGAGGAAGCAGCAGGGAGGGAGCAGCAGGGAGGAAGAAGCAGGGAGGGAGCAGCATGGAGGGAGCAGCAGGGAGGAAGAAGCAGGGAGGGAGCAGCATGGAGGGAGCAGAAGGGAGGTTGCATCAGGGAGGGAGCAGAAGGGAGGTTGCATCAGGGAGGGAGCAGCAGGGAGGAAGCAGCAGGGAGGGAGCAGCAGGGAGGGAGCAGAAGGGAGGTTGCATCAGGGAGGGAGCAGCAGGGAGGAAGCAGCAGGGAGGGAGCAGCAGGGAGGAAGCATCAGGGAGGGAGCAGCAGGGAGGGAGCAGAAGGGAGGTTGCATCAGGGAGGGAGCAGCAGGGAGGAAGCAGCAGGGCGGATGCAACAGGGAGGGAGCAGCAGGGAGGAAGCAGAAGGGAGGGAGCAGCAGGGAGGGAGCAGAAGGTAGGTTGCATCAGGGAGGGAGCAGCAGGGAGGGAGCAACAGGGAGGGAGCAGCAGGGAGGAAGCAACAGGGAGGGAGCAGCAGGGAGGAAGCAGCAGGGAGGGAGGAGCAGGGAGGGAGCAGAAGGGAGGTTGCATCAGGGAGGGAGCAGCAGGGAGGAAGCAGCAGGGAGGGAGCAGCAGGGAGGAAGCATCAGGGAGGGAGCAGCAGGGAGGAAGCAGCAGGGAGGGAGCAGCAGGGAGGGAGCAGAAGGGAGGTTGCATCAGGGAGGGAGCAGCAGGGAGGAAGCAGCAGGGAGGGAGCAGCAGGGAGGAAGCATCAGGGAGGGAGCAGCAGGGAGGGAGCAGAAGGGAGGTTGCATCAGGGAGGGAGCAGCAGGGAGGAAGCAGCAGGGAGGAAGCAACAGGGAGGGAGAAGCATGGAGGAAGCAGCAGGGAGGAAGCAGCTGGGAGGAAGCAACAGGGAGGGAGCAGCAGGGAGGGAGCAGAAGGGAGGTTGCATCAGGGAGGGAGCAGCAGGGAGGAAGCAGCAGGGAGGAAGCAACAGGGAGGGAGCAGCATGGAGGAAGCAGCAGGGAGGAAGCAACAGGGAGGGAGCAGCAGGGAGGGAGCAGCAGGGAGGATGCAGAAGGGAGGAAGCAGCAGGGAGGAAGCAGCAGGGAGGAATCAGCAGGGAGGCAGAGGATTAACAGCAAATGAGAGAGCAGGTGAGGAGCTGCAAATGCATGGAGGACCATTGGAGTAACAGCCGTTCAAGGGCGGAAAGCAGTAACAACATGGGGGAGTAGCAGAGGAGTGACACCAAGGGGGCGGGGCACAAGAGTAATAGCACAGCAGGGAGGGAGCAGAGAAGTAACAGCAAGGGAGGTGGGGGTCCTGAGGAGTAACAACAAGGAACAGGGAGTAGAACAGCTGGGAGGGAGCAGCAGGGAGTAGCACAGCAGGGAGGAAACAAAGAAACACAGAGCAACATTGGGGGGAGCAGTGTGAGAGCAGCATTAGAGGGAGCAATGGCGGTGGGGGGAGCAGTAGATGAGCAGAAAGGGGTTGCCATTTTAGTAGCAGCAGGGGGGTTGAGTCATTAAGGAGTGGCTGGGTGGGAAGGAGCAGAGGAGAAGCCGTATGGGGCCTAGGGTTGATAGCGGGTAGTAGTAGCGCAGGTGTCATTAACCAGGGAAGGACTACTAGTAGAGTAGGTAGGAACCAGAAAAATTAGTAGGCTACAAATGTCTTAGTACCCTTTTTGAAGTAATGTTATGATTTGCACGTACGCGCCTGCCATCTAAGGGGGAATTTATGGAAAGTGCTGTGCAGCCTGCAATGAACTACTATGAAATGTTATCCAAACCCCAAGTGTGTTTTCTGAAATCATGCATAACCATTTTCCGAATTTATGCTTGACACATAAAAGTGTTTCAAAAAACCTTAATCCTTGTCCACAAAAGAATCACATAAAGCTGCAGAATGTGCTCTAAACGAGTTTTCCAAAACTCCAGGAGAACTTCCGCCGAAGCATTTCAAAACTGATATAAAACATTGCTACAATCTACAAAGCATCTGACACAACATCTGGAAAAAGTTCGATACTTTCTTCGAAAAAAGTACCGACCCCTACATCTTCAAAGCACCTGCAAAAACACATCAAATACACATCATGAGAGGTTTCCAGCTACTTGATTTTTGTGATGTTGTTTATGGCCGATTTCCTTTCATCAACTAATAAGTGCTTTTAATATTGATCAGTAATATGCTCATGTTAAAACCAGGGTGCACATTCACCTGGGTGGGCATCAGGGGTTAACCTTTGATGCCCACATTACGGCCAGATTTCGCCCCAACCCCCAAAATTTTTGTTCCCCATCCCCAGCAAATTTTGAACGTGCACCCTGGTTTTAAGTGGTTTCAGTTTAATAAAGATTTTCCACCTCCAAGGAAAAAATCAGCACTCAGAGAATGGATCAATGCTTTATTATTTGCTGTAATCACTGCTAGCTTAATATGTTGGGTTGTTATAAGGTGGGCTCTTATGATTCCCACTGCCGGTGGGGGTGTGGGGGTTTGCAAGCAACGTGCTGTGCCCTAATGAGGCGCATAAAAAAGAAGGACGCAGGCACCGTGCGGTGCTGGCTGGATAAGTGCACGTGCAACCAGTCCATTGATTCGAGGCATGATGCACGGAGAATGGGCAATGGCAGTGTGGCGTGACAACCAGCTTGTATGCATGGTCCGGCCTACAGGCATGGCCCAGCCTACAAACATGGCCCAGCCTACAAGCATGGTCCAGCCTACAAGCATGGTCCAGCCTACAGGCATGGCCTAGCCTGCTGGCTTGGTCCAGTCCAGTATGCAGGCATGGTCCAGTCCAGTCCAGCAGGCATGGCCCAGCCTGCAGGCATGGTTCAGTCCAGCAGGCATGGTCCATGGCTCACTTCCCTACAGATGCCCACACAGACAGCAGACCATCCGGCTTTGAACTATGAACATAACCAATTTTTCTTTCTTTTTTTAATGGAAAAGGGAGTAAGAAGAGGGAGTCGGTGTGAGGGAGACCGGGGAGGGGGAGAGGTTGGGGTAGGTGAAGGCGTGCAGGGCGCACAGTGAGACGATGAAGCCAGCCGAATTGCAGCGCACGCCCTCCCCTGCGCGCAGTCCCCCCCCTTGCTCCATCCGCGCAGTTGCGCCTGCCACTGCCCCTGACACTCCGCCAACACCGCCGCTGCGGGAACAGAAGTGGAGGTGTATTGGGCGAGCAATGGGGAGCAGGATTAGGAGGAGCAGGGAGAGCAGGATTGGGGGCGAAAAGCGGGGAGGAGAGAAGGCACGGAAGAGAGGGGGCGGCGGCTGGGATGAGACGATGGATGCACGCGGAGAGGATAGAGGGAAGCACACGGTTAGAAGCATTCACCACTGGCAGTGCTTTTAGGATAGGAAAGCCGTTGGGAGGAATGCTGGGAGTTTGAAAAAGAGTGCCACACTGGAGCCCAGGGAAAACACGGGCCGGGACGAGTGGGAAGCCGCCTCTGGAAGCTGGACGTTTTATTTCGCAGCTTTCGCAGCTTTGTCGAGCATGTGCAAAAGTGCACACGTTCGGCAAAACGTGCACTCGAACATACAAGAGTAAGCTCGAACCATGTTCAATGTCCATGTTTGTCTCATTGCTTTGGCTTGATGATGACAAAATTCGCAAACTAAAATGGCAAGATTTTCCAAACGTGCTACAATCTAAAATGAGACGTGCCCTAAGGATGTAACTAGCTACACATAGCGCAAATTTCTTAAGAGTGATGCACAGCGGAATGATCAAGACTAGCAAGATGGGAGATGCAAATGATAAACCTAGAAAGTGTCGTACTCCCTAGAGACCTCCTCACTATAGCATATAAACATAACGTATAACATTTCACACACCCCCATAGGCTAAGTGAGGGGCATCAAATCAAGCAAAGGAAACGAAGGGTCACAAGACCAGTCAAGAGAAACAACAAGGCAACGCTCAGGGTGGATCTCAAGATCACCGAACATTCCGAGCATAAGGAAATGGCCACAAGGCCAGTTCAAGAGTTCACAAATATATATAGATGCAAGGACAATCAGAGCAAGCAACAAGAAAGAATGCTACAGCAACCTAGCACCAGTGTCAGCAAGGCCTAACTGCAGACAGAACCTGTGGTGGTCACTCGGCGATAGGGCCTTGGCGAGAGTTGGCCTCTGAGGCCACGAAGTCCAAGCGTGTCTGGCCGCGCCGCTGCAACGCTCGCAGGAGAAAGTACCTCATGTCAGTGTGCTTCACTCTGCTCTCCAGTCGAGGCACTCGACACATGAGGATCATGGCCTTGTTGTCAACAAACAAGGTCGGTGCAGAGCGAGGCCGCTCACCAAGGTCGGCGAGCAAGAAGGTGAACCATCGAAGCTCCTGCGCAGCCATGGTACTAGCGTAGATCTCTGCCTCTGCACTGGACGAAGCCACAGACGACGACCAAGTAGACCTCCACAACAGAGCTCCAGCGCCCAAGCTGAAGCATTCCCATGAGTGGGCCTCTGTGTCTCCATGTCGTTGGCGTAGGAAGATTCGCAGTGACCGGTCAGAACAACTGGCTGTCTCCCTCCAAGCACAAGCCCCATGCCTGATGTAGTCGCCAGGTACTTCGCCACCCTCACAGCAGCTGTCCAGTGAACAGGACGGTGTCTCCCAGTCGCAACAAAGTGAGAGAGGACGCTGAGAGGAAAGGCGAGGTCCGGCCGAGTACAAGTCATAAGGTATATGAGGCAGCCCACAAGCTCTGCATAGGGACCACTAGACTCAAAGGGCTCGTCGAGAAAAGGGCCGGTGAGTCAACGGCAAGAGGAGTGGGCGGCAAGAGGAGTGGGCTGTGTGGTGGAGTGCTGAAGCCCGAACCGCTGAAGGACCAGCTACACCATGTGTGACTGTGAGAGTGTAATGGTGCGAGCGGCTCTGTCCCTGGTGATCTGCAAGCCACAGTAGCGGCGCAGCTCACCAAGGTCAGTGCACGGGTGTCTCTTCTGCAGTTCGGACTTCACCTCAGCCAGAGCGGCCCTATCTGCTGTAGCAAAGACCAAGTAGTCGACGTAGACGAGGATGCAGGAAGGTGTGGGCCCAGATTGAACAAACAACGATGGGTCGGTGGACGAAGGACGAAACCCGAGGGCAGCAAGAGTGGTGCGCAACGTGTCGTGCCACTCACGGGGCGCCAGGCGGAGACCGTAGACTGGTCGTCTCAGGCTCCACTGGGTCCCAGGTGGGAAAGTGCCAGTGAAACCAGGAGGACGACGCAACCAGATCTCCTCGTGCAGGTTGCCCTGGAGAAAGGCAGTGGAGAAGTCGAGGGAGTGCAGCTCGTAGTCTCGCTATGCTGCAACGTGAAGTAACACCCGAAGAGTCGTCATCTTCGGGGTCAGGGCAAAGGTCTGGAAGAATTCAACTCCCTCACGCTGACTGAAACCTCTAGCCACGTAGCGCGCCTTGAAGACAAACGGCGATCCAAGCGGCTGCTTCACCTTGAAGATCCACATGCCGTCGACTACGTTCGCCCTGGGAGGTGGAACTGCGTCGACGTAGGTGCATGTGGATCTCATAGACGCCATCTCTGAGTCCATGGCCGCTTTCCACTGAGAGGCCCACTGCCCTGACACTACCTCACGATATGTGTGAGGAATCGGAATGTCAAGGGCGTTGGGGTCTCCCTCAAGGGAAAGCAGCATGGCACAGAGAGAGGGAGAAGCGGCTGACAAGAACTCCAGCTCAAGCTGCCTGTTCTCTAGGACGTCACAGCCAAGGGCAACCTCACCACCGGCGGACAGAGGACGGACAGGCGGGGCAGCCACTACACGGGTCAAGGCGGCGGGTGGCGGCAAAGTCAGCGACAGCGGCAATAAGAGCCGAGACAGATGACGGAGAGGCACGATGGTCGGTGACAAGAGAGGCGAGAACACGCGAGACAACAGGACGAGCAGCACGGTATGTCAGATTTATATGACATAGCTGCTGTAGGCTATAGTGGGGTAGCACATATGGGGTACAGTTTTCTAGGGTTTGTACTTGTACCCAACTTTCCCTTAGTCAATCTCATTCCTTGTCATTTCACATGGTATAGAGCGGGTTCCCTCGTGGGAACGCTTCCTAGGGCCCACCAATCGAAAAAAAAAAATTCCCTGCCCGGAGCGCGCTTCGCTCCTGCCCGAGTCGCGCCCCGCGTGCCCTCCCTACCGTCGCGCCCTCTCTAGGCCCCTTACGGCCCCTTCGCGTCGCCCTTAGCGGCCCCTCTGACGGCCCTTCCAGCCGCCCTTACGGCCCCTCGTGCCGCCCTTACGGCCCCTCGCGCCGCCCTTCCGGCCCCTCGCGCCGCCCTTACGGCCCCCTACGGCCCGTCGCCGCCCTTCGCGGCCCCTCGCGCCGCCCTTCACGGCCCGTCGCCGCC